AAAGAATTGCATGAAGGGTATAATTTAGCAAAGATTACTGTTTAAAGTATTCACTTATTGATTTGTTAAGAAATTACTTACAAAACTTCTATTGGCATTTTCTTATTTTTCTGGGTGGTTAATAAGCACTACTATGGTTAGATGATTCACTTTGTGAAAATTAAGAACGCCTACTTTTTAATTTCTGAAGTTGTGAATACTTGCAGGGAGACTTTGAACTTGATAATTGATGATTTCTAATTAACTGTTTAGACTACTGAATGGCACTTAGTTCCCTTATGCATTAGTCATTCACATATTGCTTTTACTACTATTAATATTATTATTATTATTAATACATAACTGATTTTTGACATAAACTCTGTTTATTGTCAACGTCATGTTGATTAGAATATGGAAATGTTGAACAAAAATCACAAACAGCTTTTTGTATGTAGTGAATTACAGAGTAGCTTCAGCCACATATCGATTTTTTCACTCAACCTTTAGTGTGAATAATACTCAGCACTAATAATTGACTTGAGGCAGTGGACAATAAATATTGGAATTTCGCAAACGAAATAGTCTCGAGCATGGCTGTTTATTCCTAAGTGAGTTAGTAGGAATTTGTTGATCGACTATACGGCGTAATCATTAGGTTAACTGACACAACACTATGGTTTCCTGTGATACATTTTAAACCAGTAACAGGCCTATGAGTATAACTTCTTTCTACAATTTAGCGCTCAGCATGTCCAACGAATAACACAGATTGGCCGGTTTGTTGACATCAACTGACAATAAAGCAGTCCTATAGGATTGCCTATGCAGACTTAGAGAAAATTAAACACTTTGAATGCCCACTTTTTTGATTCGATAGTTGTACTGATTACATTTAATTTACCTGAACTTCTTGTTAACACTCAAAATGTTTATTTCTTTTCTCCTTCATTTGAAGTGAAGAATTCAGGCGATGAATTATATGTATTATAGATAGCCAGAAAATTAGCTGTGAATTATGCAGTCAGACGAATGTAAGCAGTAAATTTATTTATACAGTACAGGGTATCTGTCAACCTTTGACTGTACCAAACAGCACAGTGGACAAGAAGCCTGCAATTATACGACTCTATTTTTAAGAAATAGTTGACAGAAAATCGATTACTTCACTGGTTAGAAGCCATCGTGTTGCCAAGTTAGTTCACCTTTATGAGATATGCTCTTTAGTTCAATCAAAGGCTTATAGGTACCATCCCCATGTTAACTTTAATTGTGTATACAAATTTGCATGTATCTGCTGTAGCAGTTAAACAGGAAGAACAGAAGGAAGGATACAACACCTTCGACTCCCTGAACATGTACCAAAAAGCCCGCGTCTCAACCGAGCAGACGCCTTCAGAAATGCTACTGCCAGGTATCTTGTTGACAAAGATCATTAGGTGGACATTTCAAGTTATCAGCAGTCACCATAATTTAAAACTCCTCAAGCTTGCCGAAGCAATTTCTATCAAACCCTACTTATGTATTTAGAAAGAAGTAGTGTGGAGCACAGAATGACGATTTTGTACACTTTTTATTGGATGAAAATAATGACACACTTTGCATATCTTTTGTTATGATTGACATTCTTGTTTGAATCACACCGTTTTTGCTTCACTGAAATATACACTCGCTTTGTAGTTGCTGCGTATTCTTTCTATCCACGACTGCTCGTTTGCTAATAATAATTCTTTCCTATTTACTTTGGAATTTGTAGAAACCGTCCCATACTCAAACAAAGTGTATTCAACCAATTCTTTGGCAACATACACAGTGGAGAAAAATATCATCAAAGCATACACATTTGCCATATCCATGGACTACCTACATAAGTTAAATTTTGGAAGTTGAACTTAAACCTAATTGCAAGTAACTGTAACTTTATCTAACGCGTTTGTCTTAAAAAAACGTAATATACTGTTTGAATATCTTAAATAATTCGAGTTTTTTATTTTGATATTTTATATGACAACTGAGTTTAGTGATTAGTCCACCAGAGCACTTATCAGTTTTCTCTTGACCTAATGCCTGGATATCCTTATTGTCTCTCTTATTTGACTACAGAACCTTTGACTTGGACCTCTTCTCATTTTGTTATAGTGTAATTTTGCTTGTCTATATTTTACTGTTTTGGGTTGTGATTCACCACACTGTTATGCAACTTATTAGTCATTTATTGAAGAAATAACACAAGTTGTTTAGGTTAGGTCACGGATTGATAGCAAGTAGACAGCCACTGAAAACCAGGGAGTACTGGACAGCTGTTTCATCCTAGTTTCGGACTAATCGCCAGTACGCACATACCACCAGGGTTCGAAACCAGAAGCTTCCGCGTACAAGGCCAGCTCGTATACCATTGAGACACTGGGAACGATTAAACGGCCCAAGAATTCCAACTTCTGTCAATAACTAAGGTCAGCACGACCACCAACCAGTGTCATCGCCGGGGGCTCCATCCTCACTCCCGAATTGACGGACTACACCGGTCACGACTTCTCACTAGAATTTCAGGCAACTTCGTCCTGTAGCCAGTTACTAGCGAGCGTCAGGTTAATTTACAAGAATTAGTTTGTAGTTCAGTGGAAAGGCTCTTTTCGGCCAATTCGTTTTCTGTAGCTATACAATCCAGCCTACATACAGAGTTTTTCGCAAAGTATTGTAATAAAAGTGATGAGTTGTCATAATTATAGTTGTTAATATTAATCAATACATAACAGGAGCTGACTGAAGTTATCAGAAATACTTAGTGAGATAAGTATTTTAGTGAATGAGTTGTATTCACTGAGATTCATTCACAAGAAAATAGAATACGCTGAAAAGAGCCTTTTCGCTGAACTTCTTTTTTGTTCCTTTGCTTTCCCAATCGAAAATAAGGCTTCAAGCTGGAGCTTTGAAGTTTCGGTAGCAGTGGTATTTTTTATTTTTATGAGATGGGGTTGCTAGCCTCAAGCCCAACCTTGCCTCTTTACTAATCTTATTATTGGCTTAGCGAGGTAAAGGAGTGCATCAGTCGGGGATCGAAACCCCAAACCACCTGCGTGGTTTAATACATAAAAGGAGCTGAATAATATTAATTAAATAAAGTATAGTTATATTTCAATGGTTTACACACAATTAATGGCTACTGCCTCGGCTATGCCCAGATGCCTACTCAAAAGCTCAAATCCAAGCTGTGTATCCAAAAGAAATACGTCCAATCCTTGTCTCTGCCGTAGTCATGATAAACAGGTGATAGTTTTAATAGTGACTATCTCATTGCCTTTCTTATCGAAAACTTTTTCTTCATCCAAGTTATTTTTAAGTTTTTCTTTATCCATATTTACACTACCATATTTTTATATCCTAAATTCCCATCTATTTTGTCATTTTATTATTCCTGCATTTTTAATCACTCATTGATTAAACAATTATTCGTCATATTGGTTATGATCCCACTAGATTTTTTTATCCAAAAATCTTGCACCATTTTATAATTCCAATATATCTAGCCCCTCACAGCACAATATGTCGATTTTCTCAGTAGTTATGATGCTACTTTGTTTGATTTTTTATCCGTCCCCCTGTTCATTATGGCATTTTAATTCCTAATTGTAATTTTATTAATTTGACCCTTGACCGGAAATTATCCTGGAACTTTCCCACCCACACGAATGTACAGCCTAGTTGATGACCTCGTCGAAAAGAAAATGAGAAGAGGTCAGAAAAGTCAAAGGTTGTATAGTCAAATAAAAGAGACAATACAGATATCCAGGTACTAGGTCAAGGGAAAACTGATGACTAACTGATGAGTTGTCATAATCACAGTTGTTAATATTAATTGATACTATTCAGCTCCTTTTATGTATTAGTTAATATTAACCACTACAATTATGACAGCTCATCGCTTTAACTACAGTACTTTGTGAAAAAAATTCTCTATGTAAGGGAGATTGTATAGCTAAAGAAAATGAAATTGCTGACAAGAACCTCTTCACCGCACTACTTCTTTTATTTTCTCATTAATGGCTGGATAGAGATTATTAATGAATTATTATTTACTTATTATCTGCTTATTCATCTCTAGCCCTTATTACTCATCTCCTTCCCTGCTGTATCTAAGCTTTTATTGTATTTTATTCTGTCTAAAACTGAGCCTTCTGTATATAAGTTATCTAGATGTAATTGGTGAGCAGTGTTTTTCATTTCTCGAGTTGCTTGTTAACTGACATTGTGTTATCCTTGTAAGTTCATCAAGATTTCTCTGTACACATACTCAATTAAAATCTTTCAGGCTGTTTACATGTTGATAAGGGACCCACTACTGTGAGAGTGAAAATCGAACCCTTATTGCAGCTGCTTATTTCCTATCCATATTTTATTTCGATATTTATTCCTTTATTTAGCATGTCTCCAATATATTTCCTGGTTGTATGGAAGAAAAGAATTCAGCTGTGGTACTTTTTAACTATTGTTGATAGATAGTACTAAAAATGTCAATGAGATTAGTAAAAACAAACAATTTTAGGTAGTTAAAAGTTTTCAATACTCATAACATTATAAATAATAGCAATAATAATAGTGATAGTAGTAATAACAATAATATTAATATTAATAGTAGTAGTCGTATGAATAGTAACAGTAGTTTTTTTTTAAAATTTTCTATCAAGAACACTAATGATCATCAACTGTTCTATTTTGTAAAAAGTGATAATGTGTTTGCTAACCAATTGAATAATTTTCACTAAAATTGATTCTTTTTTTAAAAATATTTCGATGTAACAGCAGTATAATTGAAAATAGCAATGCAACAGCTAATTTGATGGTTATTCATTTTACATTATGCCAAATAAAATGATCTATGCAAAGGTATTAATTTGTATTTGTGTGCAAAAGAGAAAAAGAAAAACCAAGATGGTTGTGTGCATATTTATATGCATGTATGCATGTGTGTGTGTACACAAAGAAAGTAAATTTGGAAGCTCTGGTGGGATAAAAAAGGGAAAACGTCGAGTGAATAGTTCAGCAATCACTTATATATATATATATATATATATATATGAATAAAACTGACTGATTGATTGACTGACTATCTGAAATTAAAGTACCGGATCAGTCCGAATTCAGTTTCTAAAGTTTGTGATTACATATAAATGAAAGAATAACAGAAATATGGGAATATTTTTGCAGCAAATCAATAAATAAGGAAATAAATAAGCACAACCGTTGTTTATTGTTCTTCCACTTTTGCTCCAGTCGTTTGTCTCTTTTATAAAATTGCTTTCCGATTGGTTTTCTACTGCTCTACATCAGAGGGTTTTCGTTGTAGAAAGTTATCTCTGTTACGTGGTTTCGGTTGTTGAGTATCTAGAAGTAGAATAAGAGTAATCGTTGATTAGACTGGTTAGTTAGAAGATAATTCCAAGTTAAAAATGAATAAAGTAGGGAGAAAATCTGCGTAGCACGATATTTTGTCATTAGTTCGTGGGCTTCTGATATACATCTTTTCACAATTAATATTTTGTTTCACTTCACAATAGTATACAAATGAATAAGGTAGATTTTTTGACACATTGGTACGAGCCACAGAATTATTTTACAGTCTACGAGTCATGGACTGCTGATTCATCCTAAATTTACACCTTGTCACTCGTTTTCCAGGCTAAAATCCAATAGGTCATTGTTTCCAACTTCTGTTGGTTAGCGAAATAGCGTCACAGCTATTCAGTGGCAGCAATTAGCAAATATCTTCAACCCTCCCACACACACACACACCTGGTCAGCTGTATCAGTTCCGACTCTGCTTTAAAACTTGACGAAAATAATCTCGGTTATTTACTAATGAACAGCAGTTTGATGCTTTATCAAATTCTAATAGAACCACCAGTTGAATATAAACAGATATAGATATTCATAAGAAGTTAACGTTGACTACTTGCAACGCGCTCACGCTCGGCAAACATGCGAGGTATTTGTCAAAAGATACGCTTTTCGAATCCTTAAATTTGCTTTATTTTGGACAATGATGTATTTGGTTTGTATTTTGCAGTAGGAAGTAGTTGTTCCGTCAGTCTTGAAGTCAGTTTTGCCAAGATGCGAATGATCACTTAGCTATCTTTTTATTTTGATAATTAAAAGAAAATCAAACTTTATTATTCACCTCGTCCACATTTTTGTTTTTCTAACAGACTAAAAGTTTTATCTATCTGTTCGTGATGAAACCTACATTGGAATGATTGCTATCTTCAAAAAGACGTGAAAAACTGTTTGGTGGCATGTTTTTCTCCGGTAATATCTCATTCTTCCCTTTTTTAATTAAACTAAGGATAAATGTTTTGTTTAACCACCTCTTGGTTTTTAAATGTAATCACTAATCATATGATGGCATGTATATTATTATTTCCAATAGGTTGCCGACGTTCATCAACCGCTACCACGGTACGGAAGATATTTAAAATTTTTTATTTTTATTTTTTTATCTTGATTACAGCTTGATTCCACACCGTATTTTCAGTACAAGTATGGAATTTTCAGCATGCGATATCGGTAGCCCAAATTTACAGGCCGACCATTGATATCGGGTGTGAGCCGGCAGGGGATCGAACCCCGGACCATGTGCATGGTCGGCGAGAGTCCTAACCACTGTGCCATCGACGATTAGATAGATGACCGGAAAGAATAAGCAACAAAGAATTCTGGTAGCCAACTAAGAACTTATTATCCGGCAAATATGCAGAAAGAAATGAAGATAGACTGGCCATATGCTGAGGTGACTTCCAGACGATGTCACACTCAGGCCCTCAAGTGGAATCCTAATGGGAAGCGACAGGTAGTGCATCCTAGGGTGACAAAGAGAAAGTTATTTTAGGAGAAAGCACAGGCATGTGAGTAGTTTCGGGGCAACAGAATAGAGTACAAGCTCTATGTTCCACTCGAAAAGCAAGGAAGGGATAATGACAATAATCCTATGGTGGGACCAGTGTGCTTTGAGCGTATACTAATGATTTAATATATATAAGGTTGATGCACCAGGCTTCACGCTCATTAGAGTTCCAGTGAAAATAAATATTTCGGCATTTAATTAGTTTGTATATCTGTTTATCTGTGATTAGCTTATGCTCACACCGCTTGATAGTGACAAAAAATTAAACAAGACATTTTTGCACACATACATTTGTGCTACTTCTGAGTAGTATATATGTCTTTTAGAAGCGTATGAAATGACTAGAAAAATAATGAGTTATCAAGATCACCCTACATCAAACTAATAAAATGAATCAAATTCAGCACATCTTTATGCCAGCTGAAAAGAAAATTTACCTGTAAGTATATCATCAACCATTGGATGTGAGACAGTTTGAAGCGGATTACCTGAAGACCTTTCTGAGAATGATCTTTGTGTACTCTGTCTGGCAGAAGAATAAGGCTGATTATGCTCAACAGGTGTTTCAGCTAATTGACCTACACTTCCTGAACAACTTCTGGGATCACTTTTATTGATACCACCGGATGAAGAACGCTTTAAGATCATGAAATAATAAAACAGAACAAGATAACATATGGCAGATAATAATTCAGCACTTATTTTCAAGTATTTGAAATTCTTAAATCGTAATACAAACGTCCGTTATATTAGCCGTCAAAAATTTGTATATACATATGTATAGATTTAATATTATGTGGGTGCGTCGGCACCACAGTGAAAGTAAAGAAAGATAAAAAGGATCCAACTTTTCACAGAGTTAACCTCCAAGAAACAACTTCGTTTATGAATGTTAATTGATGTTAATTCTATAAAAGAGCATTTCATTGAAGTGATTAATCTGTAACAAGATGAGAATGTCATACATAAAATCGGAGCGACTAGTGCGAATTATTCGCATACTGCGTAACAGCATTTGTTCAATTTTTATGCATATGAGAGAAACACTGTTTCAATCGTAACATAAATTGTTGCGACAAAACATTTGCGTCTAAGCTGTCCTCTCACTGTCCAACATTACTCATCTAATGTAGAACTCTGTCCTCCAAAGGAACGTATCTTACAACAAATCTATTCAGTAGAGGTATGCAGTAATCACTTATAACTCATAGTAATTAATTAGACATATCCATTTTAAATTTCAAAACATTGGTCAGTGAAGAAAGAATATTCTCTTTGATAACCTTTTCTTCATTTCATACAGTTATGTAACCATCACAGATAAGGGAGAATTGTTGTTTACAAGACTAGTATTAGGTAAGTGGGAGAGAGAAGTTGTTTGATGAATGTATGAAGCCACATCGAGTGAGTAGGTCTGGAAATGGAATACATACGCCAAACAATCATCTTTCTCGTCGAGCAATATTGAGCGACATAGGGTTAGGTTGGAAAAGAGTTAGGGTTAGCCGAATAAAAGCATAGCATCAATCCATGAAGTCTTTCACCGTCGGTTTGAATCACTTAGGAATATGCAGACTGCCTGCCCGACTGGGCTACTTGAGGTGATTAGAATCAATGGCTGAAGACTGCTGGCGACGTGGCTGAAAATCGTTCTCAAAGGTGCAGATGCATCCACTCTTTTTTGAACGCCGTATTATTATAATGACTTTCACTGATGAGATCCTAACAAAATATACAAGTTGGAGTGAAAATACCAGGGAGGCAGGAAGATTTAAGTGACAAGTTCCAAGTGGGACGAAACTCAAGTCCTCCCTTTGACTGCTAGCCACCAGCAACGGAATAATATGACTTTGGTGTCTATCTGAGGAGACACTATGCCATCAGAAAGCGGTTAGTTAGATCCACTGAAGCAAATAACAGGAAATCACAAGATTTCGAATTAGATACTCTAGCAAGTTCAAATACGCATGATTTTAGTTTTCCTCAAACTTCGAAGTTGGAGAGACGCGCTAGGTGAATCTTAATATTGGTTGATTATGACTTCTGGAAAAATGAAGAGTAATTAAGGAATAAGCGTGTGAACAGGTTGATTACGTAACAGATCGTTAAAGAAAAGAAAATGATTTGGACAATAATAACTTGTAACTAAGGTTGAAGTGGTCATAAGAATAAAATAATTTTTACAAAGACATCATATAATAAAGATGATGTAATCAGAAGAATAAAATAATTTGGACACTTATAATTTTTAAAGGTTTAAAGGTCAGTTAATTATCACCCCATTGACATGTTGACACAGACTAATCATTATGACTTTTATCAGAAATGAGTCATCCGTAGAAGAAATTTCTTCCCTGGAACAGGTCAATGAATTTTCCAAGCAAACTAAACTAAACTTTTATGTAAACAAGGAAGGACTACGAAGATTACACACTCAAAATGGATTGAATCAAGAGTTTATTAATTAACACAATTACCTTTGACAAGTTTGGAAAATATTTATGACTCATTCAATCACCATGTGCATAGAAAACTTCTAAGAATATTTTGACACTGAAGTATGCTTTCATAGCCTAAAAAGTGTTAATGAGACCTAGTCGTTGAAGTAGTGTGTTTAGTTCCACGTACTCTTTTACACAACAAACTCATCCAGTTTGCTGACTGATTACCTTAGGTGTTAGGTGAAGAAGAAAGCGGATGGATCTTCCGACTGTCAAGCTGTCCATAGAAAGCAAGCAGAAATTATCGGATGCTCTAAGTTACCACATCTCATTTTGTTGAGCCACACAGACGGCAACGAAAAGGGAAATGTAGAAAGTGCACTAGTAAGCAACGTGTTATGTTAGTAAGAAATAAAAAAGAAACAGAAGAGGTAACTAGTGTTATTTCTAAACCACACGATTTAGTGTATATTCATTGCTTTTGGTTGTCATGTGGATCTCAGTCAGACAACATACGCTATCCAATACGCCTCAATATAGTAATGAATGGATTCCTGGGTTTGTACCATATTTTGGCTGTAGCCACTATTTCCTTTCTCCTACCTGATTGTAATTCCACTGATGTAAAACTTTGAAGGATGTTGTGGATAGACATAAACGGCGGATGTTCCAGCCAACTTAATCAACGTAGATGTACAGGTTCACTGATTTCCTTACTTGACTTATTTAGGGCTCTACACTTAACCTTTACACTAGTTATGCGTTTTAATTCTATGGGAAGTGGGAATTAGTGGTCAAATAATTAGAGCCATATCAGATCTGTCTTGGACGGACATATTTTAAGTTCACCTAATAAGAAAGGTTTGTCTGTGGGGTTACTAAGTAGAATTGATTTCTTTAATAACTCTGAGACTTTTCGAGCAGTTATCCAGAGTTAAATATGAATATCCGGTGGAAATACTATTTTGTTTTGAAGAAAATGATGGCGACTATAGGTTTTTTGTGAGCATCATCATATCACATCACATTACCATTCAACAACTACCTTAGTCTGACACTGGTGTGTAAGCAACTTTAAGAGTTTGGAAAAGATTGACTTATTTACAATTGTCTTACCTGTCGCAAGCTCATTTGGTTTTCATTACCTGCCCTTCCAACCACATATTCACCTATCGGATGTGTGTTGGACAGCGGAATAGCGTCAGACGCAGAACTGCCACTTACAAGAAACTGACGCAGGCGTTGCAACTGTTGTTCCAGTTGTCGGTTGTGTTCTTCAAGCATAACCATCCTCGCTTCTAAACGACCTTTATGTTCCCACAATAATCGGGATTCCTGATGTGCTTCATTGGCTACGCCGCCAACCATTACTGCTTCATTCATATGTCCTGAATATTTATGCGACGCACCACGCATTTCAGAACCGTATTGGTCGACAGTGTAGCCGAGATCGTTAAAGGAACTATTTACTCGTCCGAAATTCGCACCAGGTACATTTTGGGTTGATGAAGGAACGATGCTGAAAGAAACATAACAAACAAAAAAAAATACATGCATTCACAGCAAGATAATTGTGTCATACAATTCTGTTAAAAAGTCATAACCTTCCGAACTTTTAAAGTTAAGAATTAACAGCCCCATTAGTTTCTAACATTAACTAATTCGTATTTAAAAACTGGCTTTTCAGTCTGAGCTATTTAGCAGTAAAATCACTACAAAATCTTCAGAAATACATTGATGTCACCCGTTCGCTGATAAAAACAGAGGCGCACAAAGTGTAGAGAGTTTTCGGAAAATACCTACTAGCCTCTAGCTCTCTGTTTTGAACGGCATCACTGATGAGGACAATTTGCGTCCAATATGTAGGTTATTTTCTGACAAAGGTGAAATTAAACTAAGAATTTTAGTAATATACTCGTGTGATAAAGTCTGTTAGAAATTCAACCATTCACTTCAGCCTACTAAAAGTGAATTGTAGTAGAGAAGAGTTATGCGATGTCAAATGTTCTGGGAGAGCTAAAGTAACCTGTGACTTAATTGTAAGGATATTGCTGATGTTTAAATGTTAAGCATTATACTACTTCTGTAGTACCCCTATCTCTTGAACTCCTGTATATATCGGAGGTCTCAGTGGTTAAATGAAGTCATCATTGAAAACTCCTGTAGTCTACGAATATTCTTCATCATTGAATGTCCCTTCACAAATAATCTTTCTTAGTTGATATATCACACACCATCAACCCATGACAGTGATATGCGGAAACATACTTTCTCTTTAAAAAGTCATATTTAATGTATGAAGAGTGGGATATCTCCAGCTGGTCCAATGATATTCTTGTTTACTAAGGTTAGATATTTTAATATCATAACAGCCTTTCACTCATCTCTCAGGAGGAACTGATCACTGCATAAATATGACCGTAATACTGTCTGTTAGTAAGCGCTTACAGAAATGTCTTTTGAGTTCATTGGTGAGCTCTATACACGTATATAATTCCGTAGAAGAATTTGCAGATCGTATAAGTCAGTGGTATAATCACAGAGAATGTTGTTCTATTTTAAAAAGAGATGAAAACCCTTTAAGATTGTACACAGCCTTGCAGTTACCACTTATATACAAGAAAACTGATTTCACTGCCTACTGCTTATTTCTTTCAGTCCTACAAAATTCTTTGGAAATTAAGATTACATATATCATGATTCCTGATAAAATTCCTCTTGCAACACATTGGTTGGATTCATGCTAACTGCTTAATTTCAAGTCAGCTATTATTCTCGCAGAGTACCACCGTATTAACTCTAACAGTCTTTACTTCTCACTATCCCACCCTAGTTTACCAAGATGACAGTTTTACGCTTTACTGCACACTCCATAACTTATCATCTTATAACACGAATATTCACTTAGATTAGTCACAGTTATCAGATATTCAGTAGAGGTTTCATCAGTAAATATGGTATTTTCTCAATAGGTAGGGTGGAAATTAAGTGGGTTTAGAGATTTTAATAATTCGAACATAGATTTATTGAGCATCTTCGATCGTTTCACCAGATACTTTGAAACTACACAATACTCCAGACAATAATCCTATTTTCGCTGGTTTAAACATGCCAAGTAAAAATAAATTTACCCCAGAACGAATAAACAAACTTTAAACGTACCCTGAATACAATTGACCAGATGAAAAGTGACCACTACTCATGGATAGTGTTCTACATGGTGAATTAGTTGGGGTTATAGTTCTGTGTATACTGCTATTTACACGTCCTGTTTCTGTTGGTTGGTAAGGTTGAGGATAGAGTAGCAGATTTGGATTTGGTATTCTGGCACTGGTACTAGCACGCTGCTGGGCATATTGTATTCGATTCATTGTACCATACGAAGCTGATATATTAGTAGGCGTTATAGACTTCTGTCTGAGACGATCATATTCATACTGCAAAGCTCGATGTTCATCTTCCAGTGATCGAACAGTCTGAAAGCGTTTTTTTCAGAAAAATTGAAAAACAGAACAGAAACGTGAATGTATTGCAAATATTTACTCTGAAACGGAATAACTGTTTGATAGAAAGTGCCTAGTTTTCAAAATATCATCTTTCAGTTAACCAAAGCCATGCTGTTAAAGTGTTTGGGTGACAGATTTCATTATTCACGCCACACATGGTTACTAGATTTATTAGCAAAAAAGTAATATGCAATAATAACCACTTCATCAAAGAAATAGTAGTCACTGTTGAGCATGTTACAGCATTTATGGTTCCTTGAGAATTTTTCCTATAGTAGGTCTTTTAATATGTCAAGTGGATTGCACACTTTATAGACGGTTAATATGCAAAGCTGAACAGCGTGAATCTGATTGTTTCAGATAAACCTATGAATGTATTTTCACGGTCTTCATACAAACTCGAACGAATATAATACGAAAGGTTATTTTTCATTACATCTATTAACTTTTATAGGTGTCATTTTACTTATATTATCATTGAGACTTTAGCCCTTAACATCTTTTCATACAGTTTGTAGATCCATTTCAGTTATACAAATTCTGCAGTATCTGTTAATGAGCAAGTTAGCTATGCATAACGCTCTGATGGTTAATGTTCTAGCATCTAATCGACTGAAACTGTGTAGTGAAAATGACTGATTACTCTATGCTATTTGTGAGCAAATATTAGAATGGAAAAGTGATTACTAGAACAACTAGTAGGGTTGAACATTGTGGGATAGATCAATTATAACAGTAACAGCTGCTAACTTTAAGTAATGTACTCACATGGTTTCTATAGCACACAACAACAAAACAGAGAATAAATATTCACATGGCCTAACAGCTTATTTAAACGGTATAGTACAATGGGAAAATAGGCAGTTAGTGGACACTTATTGTCATAATCATCCTATAACCCAGTGAATATTTTTTTGTTCAATGGCTGATTGTCCTACCTCAGAAAGAGAAACACAGTGAAATACGCAACCTTTGGTACATGAATTTTACCTGTTGTATTTGTCCATAAGGTTGTTGCTGATGTTGAATCGCGTAGTTTGTTTGGTAGGCTGGTGATCTATAAAGCATATTTGTGCTTCCTACAGGTCTCCACATAGCTTCTTGAATTTCAGGTGGAGGTTGTGATCTTGCTCTCAGTGAGAATGTACGCTGAATATGACGTGTATTATAAACATCTGTATTACCATCTGGATATAGAGAAGTTTGGTAAGGTCCTTGATGTAAATAACTAGTTGGACCGTACTGATTATCCATACGTGAAGCATTATTCAAAGCTCGCGCTGTCCATCCAGAAAAGGAACCACGTAGTGCAGGATTGCCTGTTCCTATTTGAGGGAGGCCTATTCCACGATCGGCCTGTCTTCGATCTAAACTTAGGTGTCCACTAATAAATGGTTGTATAGGCTCTGGTTCCATTCCAGGAACATTACTTGATACACCATCTGATATTGTAGATCTTTCCATCAGCATCGGCCCCGTAGAGCAAGACATTGATTGAAGCACGGATGCATGTTGATCATGAGGCTATAAGAACATGTGAAATGGAATTAAGAAAGTCACGTCAACAACAATGACGCAGTAAAAAAATTTGAAAGTTCCCTAATCATGCTACTGATTATTATTCAGTAACGAGGCTCATTAATAACCTATCTCTTGTCTCTATTGAATTCTCTGTAGAAAGTCTATACTTTCTTCCGAAAATAGCCCACAAGAGTCATTTCACTTGAAAATATCAGGAATTAGTCCATTAGGCTTATTAACCAGTAGCCTTCAATAATATAACAGGTCAAACAGAAGCAACAGTATAAAGTGAGAGAATAAATGAGTCTTCATCACTGAATTATATGTAAGGCCTTCAAACTCTGTTTTTTTATTATCTTACGGTTCAAAACTAGACATGTTACACTTTTTACGCAATTTGTATGTACCACTGTTCAATTCATCGGTTATTTTGACTCTTTTAACTCTCAGCAATCTACCAATTTAATCCCAGTTTCACTAACAGCTTACATATTGGTTGTCAAAGACTTTCAAACAGCACTGGTTCATCATATCACTAATTGACTTTCCTTTTTTACATAAGACTTTATATATGTGTGCAGCAGTTTAATTTGTAGTATACTGGGAAATAACAAATGTGAATAACATGCTTCAGCTACTTAAAAGACATAATACGAAGTTGTAGGTTATGGACTTTAAATATGTAGTGAATACCACTAGCTTCTTAAATGATACTCCAGTTTCTCTGATGGCAATAATATAGGCACGTAATCTTGTATAGTGAGTGGCCTAAGTGCTTTCCATTATTACTAGTCCTTGTCGGGAGTTTAAAATAAGCTGTCACATATTACCTTTTGCAATTTAGAAGTCTCTGTATCTTCATGACTGAACTCAAAACTTTCCAGCGTGAAATTACTGTGCAAACTTCCAATATTCAAAAGTGTATAGTTTCATAAGACTCAAATAGACACTGTTTAATGAACACCACAGTCAGGATGATTTTCATTTTAGTGAACACATCAGTCAAGCAGAAATAAGTAGTATCCTGAATCTTGAAGTGGATGACGAAATTAGTGTGCAGTCATTTCATCTATGGATTACCTATACAAGGTAGACTTTTGTTATTACTATAATGAAATGAATGAGAAACCTGCCTAATTAGTGTGGTAATCACTGGCATAAAACGAATTCGAACCACCTGACTATGAAAGGAGTTCAGTATTGATAGAATAGTTGAAGTAGGCGGATGGAAATCAACATACACCAACCATTTTAGAAAAAAGAAGCCCACTCAAAAAGCTGTGGAGACAGAACTACCAAGAAGGGCTCACAACTAAACTCCTAAGTGTCTAGTAGTCATTCCTATAAAAAAAAACATGCTATTTTTTAAAATCAAAAGTTTCCTTGCTTTGCTAACAAGCAGGCCAATCGCTTTGGACAAATGCATTAGGATTATCTCGTATCCTTCTGCAAACAGGTCATCTATGAATATCAAGTGAAAGTAAAGTCTATCTCGTTCAGCATCGATGATCTCGGCAACAATAGTGCAAGAATGATCTTAAGGTTATAGCAAAAGCAACTAGTGTTTAGCAATTTGTGGGGAGTATTTAAGAACATTGAAACATCTGATTTTAACAATAATTTGACTAGAATTACTCAGTGTAATCAAAGCAGCCATTAGAATTCCGACTTTGCATATGATATACAAGGGCGGAGAAAACATTTAATTTAGTTACAAAATTAAATTACTTTCCGAAGAATGAAAACAATGTGAAGAGATACGAGTTCATCATGAGTAATTTCATAATTTCATCCACTTTCACCTTATTCAGGACCTCTGAAGGATAACATTATAGTAGATGCGGTAAAAGTCATTGTTTTCAAGAAGGTGTTCACTGTTGTAATGCGCAGACTACCAGAGGTTATTAGGTCTTTTTTTAACTAGTGTTATACAGTACATATCGACTATTCTATACACCATTTTCGAAACTCATTAAAATATAATTTTTAAAAAGCATTTAAACGAGAATATTCTTACCAATTCAGGTTCACTGTGTTGCCTTAATTCTTGACTGTAACGTGCAATTAACTTATGTTCCTCCTCATTATCACCCTGATATTGATTTGTGCGTTCAGCAGTAGGACCATAGTGATAATTTGCTTCATTTTTTAATCTTGAGCCTAAATTTGGTGGTTGTGGTGAAGGGGTTGTAGTAAACAAATTCGCATTTATGTTGTTCTGTCTAGCCATTGTAGACTGAGTATCGGAGGCTGCTCGTGGTGGCATTGAATACTGAGTTGATGGCATAGCTAAGTTAGATAGTGGTCTACACGTCTGCGAAAAGTGTTGGCCTTGACTGTTATCATTATTATTAGTATTATTATCAGCTGTCTCTTTCGTGTAATGATTTTCAAATGACTGTGTGTTTGATTCAGGACTATGATAGGCGTATTGCTTTTCGGCACTGGTTGGAGTATCTAAATTTTGATATTCTGCAAAGTCAGAGAATGGGCCTTGACTGTACATTGGTGCTGGACGAGGCTTGCTGTGAATAAAAATGAAATAAAGAAATAATTATGCATAGAGTTTACCGATGCGGCTGGTAACCAAACCAGTGGTCAACGAATTCTTGCTAGTAATACGTGTTGACTAATTACTCAGTGAAGTCATTACGTTTAGAAATAATTCGCAGTTAAAATACAAGTAACTGGGTAATAATAAATATTTGTAAGATATTGCCAAATGACTCTTAGGTGCATAATAACGGTATTATAGTTTACAGCCATTCGTTTTAAGCTTGTTTGGGTCTGTCCACGTTAAGCTGACTGCCTTGCTTACTACCTATATATACTGTAGTAACTGTAGCATAAGCTATATTAAAAGTTTAACTTGAGTTATAACCACTCTCCTAGATCATAACTAAAATTGCAGACGGCATACAACATTCTTGATATGAGTCTGAAATTAAACGACATGGTGCTAAACTGTTCAAATAAGTTAAATTAAACGTGTCAAAACGCTTGTTCACTCATAATCATATATCTTTTAAGTGACTTATCAGTACACCATTTACTGTCAACCTTCATATGCTAAATGGTTAGCAGGGCCAACGAATTCATTGGATTTCGTGGGCGCTAGATTGCTCATTAGAGCATTGATTTCCTTTCCAAACCTTGCTTATAGTGGTGTGATGGTTTAGTCATGTAAGCGGGATGAGTTAAATTAGGCCTATCGATGCAATGTATGACCAACCGATTGACATGATCACTGAACAGAGTAACCATGGTTGCTCATGGTGTGAATGGTCCAACGGCATCCAAGTGGTTGCTCCACCGGCTGATACTGTATTTAGTTCTAATGTTACGAAGTGCTGAGTGTGTTCGGTTCTCCTAGAAACCAAAGTATCCAGTCAGTGGGTAAATCACTGTGTGAATATACTGACTGATCCTACCAACAGTCAACGCTTCTCTCAGAGATTAAGTCAGGCATATCTAAGTACATAACTTGGAACGGTGAAAGTGAGAATGGCTTATTAAATCAGCTGTGATATCTTTGATAAAATGGACAGCTGTAGTAATTCTAGAGTTAATAAATTAATTTATACACAAATCTACGTGGGAACACATTCATTTATTTGAACAGAACAAACCCTAGGGAGTTACGGCTGTCTCTGATAAGCCCTATGATGAATCTAGATAACTTTGTATCCCGCGATCAGTTTTGTATCGGTGACGCATCTCCCTGCTCTATCAATTTATTGTCTACCATGATAATAACGGGTAACGAGAAATCAGGGTCCAATTCCGGAGAAGGAGCCTGAGAAAAGGCTACCACATCCAAGGATGTCAGCAGACACGAAAATTACTCACTCCCGATATGGGAAGCCAGTTAAGAAAGATATGAATACGGGACTCATTTGAGGGTTCATCGTCTGAATGAGTGAAATTTAGATCCTTTGACGTGGACCAATGGGAGGCCAACTTTGGTGACTCCAGCTCCAAAAGTGGATGTTGAAGTTATCGTGGTTGTATCTGGGTTGTGTGGTCAGATGCTATCTCTTGTTTATGATTTCGGCTACCACCAGGATTTGTGTTCGGCTGCGTGTAGTAGCTATGCAACCTATAAGTCTTTAGGTTCCGAAGGAAGTATGGTTACAAAGCTGAAACTTAAAGGACAGAGTGAAACGTCTTCCTTGATTGAAGTGACATTTGATTGGCAGGCTTCCATTTACTATCTCTTTGTTGAGAAAGTATTAGTAGTCAGAGTCGCATCGCAGTTTTTAATATTCCTTGTCGATGAATATTGCATGCACTGCTAAGTGTACAAAAATCAATCAGAATTAGTTTGAACTACACGATACATCGTTTCAATTCAAAATCTTAACAAATCTTTTAGAACTTTTTAACGAACCAAACACAGGCTTTTTTATCCTTTCAACGTAAATTTTGTGAATTAAAATGCAAATTTATTGTATAGCCATACATAAGTCAATGTTAAATTCAGTGAACCTAATCTAAAGTACAAATACTCAGAGTACGTATCTGATGTTAAACGATGTGTAAGCTTATTTAGATTCAACAAAGAATAAAATAACATTCTAAATGTCTCTTCATTGATACGAATTTTTACAGATAGCCCACCATCTGACAGCTTAGAAAATAAAATAGAGCTTCTATCATTGATGTCAGTAAAAAATTTGAGCACTGTGCAATAGATCATTAATAAAAGATCAAATAATTAATAATACTGTTGTTAAAATTATTATCGAAACATACTCTTCATCGAAACTACTCAGACTGTGACGTTTACATCGTGTCCGACTTGTGCTAGACCGACGAACTTTTTGACCATTTGAATTTAATTTGCGACATTCTGCCTCTTCATTCAACCGATCTCTGGATCGAAAACGATTTCTCACAATCCTTGTAAAATCACGAAATGAGTCTGTTGAAGTAGACTGTGACACATGAGCGATAATGTTTTTCCCCAGCCGATAGCATCAACATTGAGTGCAAATAAATAAATAAATACAAATCAAATATAACAAATGGACTATAAAACAGGAAGTCTTTCAAGTAATGCGAAAATAAAAATTATAAACACTAGGGAAGATGAATTTTTAATTTATTTTAAGAGATAATTAGTATAGTGTATTATTCAAATAATCTATAACAGTAAATCGAAATTACGGTGTGCGCTGTTATCTGCTCTTACGCTTTCCATTTACTGAATAAAGGCGAGATGAGCGAAGTGAACCAAGTGTAAAGATGAAGAGACATTACTAGCCATTATATTGGATTAGATCTCAAGTTATCTAGTTTTGTATATATCTGGATAACAATTGAAAATAATCAGTCACGTTTGGATTTGTCCACTGTCAATGGTTTTGGACAAATTAGACCTTGTTGGTTGACAACCACTTCTAATGTACGATCTAACGATAAGAAGTTAACAGTTTAAACGAATAGTATACAACTTAACATATGTGGTTCCAGTCTATCCAGAATTTTTAACATATGGCTGCTCAAATAATCTATGCGGAATATTTCATAACAGAGTTTGACAGCTTATTTCATAAGAAGTTATCCAAACGATTTCTGTCCATTGTCAAACAGAAAGCATTGGGAAACTTTCTTTTGTTATAGTCCGAGACTCGTCCGCGGTCGACATCCATGAACTCTCAATATATATGGACCAAAAGTATTGTGTTTTGAGACAAGCACTTTATCAGTGAGTCAGTGGCTTGAGATTTAACTGGACGAAACACCTGTTTGGTAGTGCCTAGTTTACAATCGTTTTCCAGCTACTGCTGATTTTCGACAAAGTTTTTTCCTAGAATCGACCAGTTCTCATGAAACTTCATGAAGAAAAGGTACCCAACTGTGTAACGTCATCATTTCAAACGAAAACAGCTGGTCACATTTAGTACAGAAAATAATGATGCATTCTATTTATCTTCAAAACAGTGACCAATTATGACAGAAGTCAGAAAGATAGACTAATATGCTAAAAGTTGCATTTGTGAAGTCAAAAAGACTTATGGTTGGCAGGAAGATGCTCTATATTAGTTGTCATAAGTAGTTTGCTTTGATTCGATTGATGATAGCTATATTGTCTGTGAAGAACTTCCTAGTACCATTTTACTAATAGTGGTGTCAAGGTTATGTCATGAATTTTGCCTGGAATTTAATGGAGAAGATATAATGAATTCACATTATTCTTTTGCCTGAGAACAATTTACGGTGGCACAGTGGTTAGGACTCTCGCCGACCATGCACATGGTCCGGGGTTCGATCCCCTGCCGGCGCACACCCAATATCTATGGTCGGCCTGAAATTTGGGCTACCGATATCCATGCTGAAAATTCCATACATGTACTGAAAATACGGTGTGGCATCAAACTGTAATCAAAATAAATAAAAAAATAAAAATAAAAAAAACGTGGGCGAATTCAATTCATTTTCATGAGTGGACTTTAACAGAAATATTTGTTTCTATGTGTTTTTTCACTGGGTCTGAATCCGAGTGGGTGCGTACTGATGATTGTTCCCAAAATTAGGATGAAACAGCTGTCCAGTGCTCTCTGGTTTTCAGTGGTTCTCTAACTGATATCAATCCGTGGTCAAACTCGTAAAAACAAATCTAATCCTTACAAACCAACTCTTGAAAACGATGATAGTAGTCACAAACAAACCATTTAGTAGTGTATTGTTTTTCAGTTGGCTGAGAAATCTTTATTTCGCCTCTGGTGTTCGGCTTATAGCGGGTGAGTCAATAAGGATAAAGCCTAAAGGATTGTAGTTGCATTCACATATTTGTCACTCACATCAGTTTCACACTACTTTTCTGTGTTTCTTCAGTAGTTTAAAAAAAGTAAGCTAAATTTAACTTACATGACTACAGTACTCTTGCATCGGATGAGTGAGCTTATGGTTCCTAGCTGTTCTTCCAGCGAAAAAGCATTGCTGACACATATCGAAATTTAGGCATCTAAGACAACGGTACCTACGGAAATGAAAAAAAAATATACAGAACTCATTTATGAATGGAGTTACCCTCAATCAGATGTTTGGTTTGTAGAAATTCAACTAATGCCAAAGTAAATTTCAACATGAACCAACAGATTACTGGAAGCTAAAGAGAACTGGACACCTATCATTTATTTCTAAGTTTGACCTCTGGTGGGATCATGGTTGTGAACTGCTGAAAAGCTCTAAACTAGGAATAAATAGCTGTCTAATGCTCTTTATTTTTCGTTTCGTAGTAAAATTCCACACTGCATTTAATATACCACAGCAGATTAAATTAATCACTCATGCAAAGCGTTATTTTAGAAAGGGAAATAATAGCCATAGTAAGCACTGTGTTTTGAAGTTTGAAGTGCAGTAAAGTTTTACTGTCTACTAGGCAAGATGAAGCGGTGGCGCACCAGTTAATCTACCATCTTATTCCAGTAAAATGATAACGAATCTTGTGGTATTCTTGTCCTAGATAAACTAAGCGATATCTGAAAAGTGGATAAATGTCTCTACGCTCTAGCTGAATAGATTCAATTCTAAATGATCGGCTGAATTTATCAGGACAGTTTTCGAGAACAAATTGATGTTTTACTTCTTGTATACTACCACTGGATTTTATCTACTACTTTGAGTCAATTAAAAATCCTGCTTTCCCTTTGTGTACTAAAACATGGTATATAAAGTGGTGTGTAAAGTAGCAGGTCAGCCAACTGATGCATTCTCTTATCTTTATCGACTGAAATTCCTGAGATATTGGTTACACATGCTGAGTTGCAGTTTCCCTAGACAACATTCTTAGTAAAATAGCCAAATGCTGTCAGATCAGTTAATGATAGCAATCTATGAAGTGTCTGATCGTTAAGGTGAATCGTGTAACGATGTGAATACTGGAATTTTAGCGTCTCAGAAATTATTAGAAACAGTAGTTACAGATTCTGCATAGTGCGAAGTGAATCACTTGCTATGGGACAGATAAATAACCTATATTTAATTTTCGAAGATTTTAAAATTCCTGTGATTCTTCACTTTAATTATTTTACTCTTAGTAATATTATTCGATTTATGCTGACAATTTAACGTTCTGTTGTTTCTAAGTGTAGTAACTTGAAATGATGTAATTTAATTCTACTTTCTGATTCTGTTTAATCTACTTTTTGTCCTTCCAAAGCGTATGAATCATAAATCGATGCAACCATCTGAGTGCTATTCTTCTATGTGAGTTATTTGTTTAATATGTTGACTGATGTTTGTCATAAGGCTTAAATGAGAGTTACACCACGATACAGAATATTTTCACATGAGATATCCGAAAGTCGATTTCAGTTTTTCCTTTGTGTTAGTAAATGACTGTACACTTCAACAGTGTAAGTTAAACATTTTCACGATTAAAATACATTTTCCTAATAAAATAAAAGTAGCAATCAGATGTAAATAAGAGAGTGAATGAGAAAAATTCGGTGGGTTTTAATGATATACTAAATTTGTAAACGATGAAAAAACATACCTTAATCCAACCAAAGGCTGATTATGGCATACACTACATCGAATATGATGGATGACTTGTTCAGATAGTGCAAGACGATGAAGCAACGGCAGCCACGTTAACGTTTGAGGATTTAAACGAAGCCAGGTCAAGAAATGCGCAATCCTTGCTGATGGTTTAGAATGATACATTAGTGTTCCATCCATTTTGTCTGCGTGTTTAGAAATTTCAAGGACCTGAGTTATTGGAGAACAAAGTTAATCATTCATTATGTTATGCGTATGCGTATATTTTAAACAGTACTGAATGTTTTTAAAAACTCCTATATCTACTGACATTACTAGGGTACATCACTGCATAAAAAATTTTGATCAGAGATTTCGAAAGTATTTAACAATTTGACACGAAGACCAACAATAATAATGACAATCATAAATTATTCTACCACTAGGTCAACCAAAAAATGAGCACTTTTTTGTTCAAATTGATCGAGGAAACTAGTTGTAACGAAATTTCGCACATTTCATTTCGAATTTCATAAATTTTACTCTCCAGTTTCATGCTACTTATTCTAGTATTAGTAAGTCTTTATTTTTTACTTTATTCCTTTCCGTTCCGAATGGAACATGGGGCTTCAAGCTAAAGCTTTAAAGTTTCAGTAGCAGCGGTTTTGTTTTACGGCGTGGGATTGCTAGCATCACGTCCAACCTTCCCTCCTTACCTGCCTTACTACCAGCTTAAAAGAAATTCAGGAGTGCGTCGGCCGGGGATCGAAATTCATTCGAGGTTGGCGAGCGTTCTACCGCCGAATCACAAACATAAGTGTCAAATAACTGTTTCATTCGGTGAAGGTTTAGTTCGGCTCTATCGACTGCCTTTCATTCTCGTTATTCATTTCTCATATAGACATATTGTACCTCACACACACTTATTTGTCCTTTTGTTTCTACCTAAATCCAACTGACTGCATATATTTTATGACTAAATGGTGTCTGTTAGCTGAAAAAGCTGAGTACTCCCTAATTAATTATAGTGGCAGTACATTCACGTCATATCTCATTTTACAATTTCAGTAATATTTATAATACTTACTATTATACAACTATTATAACGAGTTTAATGTTCTCGATTTCTGTTGGAGGGGCAACTCCAACATTCGGATTGGCATTTCTTAGATGAAATCTAAGAATCAGTAGAGAACTTGAGATTTATCCTTATATCGTACTGGCAGTCATATTCTACAGAAGGATTCAATTACTCACATCAGCTAAGTATTGAACTTTGCATGGTTTAATGTTACCGTTCACTCACTATGAGTATATGAATCTTGATCTTATTTTGGATGACGGTTTGTTCACGAATCGAATAACCCAGCATATGTCTGTCATTTAGAACATAGTTGTTCAGGATGAATCACTCATTCAACAGTGAAATAGACAACGCCGTCAAATGCGACAACCAAACATTAGTCAGAAAAGAACTCTACTTGAATGTCACTTGGAATTTCCTCTTTCCTACCATCTAAAACAACTGCGTATTATCTGTTGGAACTGTTGCGGTGGAACTTGGACAAAAAACCACTGGACCAACAGCAATTCATTGGCTGATTTTAGATCTGTAACCACTTTGTGATATAAATTCATTAAAGTAGTCTTGAAAAAATTCAGTCATAATATAGTTTAGAATAATCGGAAAATACCGATTATGCTTTTATCCGAACATCCCGTTTATTCTTACTATTATTATGTTTTAATCCTTATATATAAATTACGTAAGTCCATTTTGTTTTCGTTATGTTTTTACCTCTTATTGGGAATAGCTGTGGAACTTTCTCATCCCTTTCATTATAAATTTCTCATTCCTTTGTTATATAATCACTAATGTAGAGCCTTGTTGATTACTTCATAGAAACGCAAACTTTCTCTTCACTGAAACCCTTCTTATTTTTCCTACAAACCGCAAACTAGTGGTTCCGAGTTCTTGTGATAAGCAGCATTGGTGAATAATATGTTATAACCTGATTTGTCATTCACGACTAAGTGATGTGCAGTAATCTTAGAAGTAATAAGTAATATATATTAATGACAATAAGTGAAAGCTTGCATTCAACAACACTACGAATAAAGACACTTTTAGTTAATTAATTTGGAATTACTTGTTGAAAACAGGATTTTACGCATTGATTGAAATCTTCTTTGCCTAAATGTCCAGTTTCACCAAGATTACGTGGAATAAGTACACACTCGTAAAGTAAAGCACCCAATCGTTGTTCGTCTACACAACCGTCACGATCAGATATCAAACTGAAAAGATCTAAACAGAAGTTACACAGGAAAACAAAATTAATTTTTTATGCAATGAAAGACAATAAGTGCATTAATTCATTCTGATATTAAAAGGGAAATTATGCTCCTACTGATTGAACTGAATTAATTGATTATTTAAGACAATTTTCGGGAACATTAGATTGAGAAGAACAAGAAGTTCAGTTCAATTTTCGGGAAGCTGTTGTTACAAACACCAGGTTTACATGACCGGTGTTTTTATGAACTAAACACTCTGACATCAGAGTTTATTGATGAAATATTAAACCAAAGGCTTTTGAGATGTATACATATATATAAACTGTAGCTTCACTTACAACGATATTTTTCATCTAAATTTGCCATTGACATCAAGGCCAGTGCCACCTTAAATGAAAGAACACGAATTGTACCACGCCGCATACTGTGGAAACAAAAAAGACAAAAAGACGAGAAATATACAGAGATGCTAAAATTTGAAGTAAAAGTGAGGAACGATGATAGTTATTCATGTTATTTATGTACATAAAGTGCGCTTGAAAAATGACTCACTGACACAGTGAAACGACAATAAAAATTCCGATTAATAAAACCCTCAATCACTGACAAATCAGAAAATAGGAAGGAGTAATACATGGAAATGCCTTTTCAATGCATGCATGTGCTGCATTCACTTTCCACTTAACTGAAACAAATATTCCTGTTTAACTTCTTGCACACTTGAATCATAGACAACTTTGAATAAGGTGGATTGTTTCCAAACAATTTAAAATCAAAAGTGATTGCAAAATCTTTTTGTATTTCCGTGTTTGTCAAGAACTTTCTACAGTGGTCAGATTATGTCACTGCTAATTAATGAATTGATTAGTGTATTTAAATTCCTCAGATTCTCATTTCACAATGTCACCGGCTGGACACAACAACTGAAATTCTTCATCACAAAAAGAAATCGACATTAAACATTCATTGAACAGTGAGACTAAATCGCCGTTAGTGATACTGGTTGCAACGGAAAGAACTGATTTTCTAGCCTCACCACTGATTATTTGGAGATAGACAAGAATGTGTTTGTATGGCAAGAAACAAAATATAGTAGAATGAATTAAATTCCTTTAATTCCGCGCGCTTAAAATCATCTAGGTACACAGATTACAATCACAGTACGTTTAAGCTCTGCTAGTTTAAGACGTCAGCATCAAATATAAACAACTGGACTCGGCTCATGTGTATAAATATTGAAAATAATAATACTAAGAAAGTGTTATTAGAGATCATGGTCGTAAGAAACATAAACTATATGAGCATAACTTAGAATATAACAGTGTAATGTTAGAAGTAGATAAAATAACGGCACAAAGATAGGGAAATGCACCAAAATCTACTAAGAATATAATGAATCAATGTAGATAGCAAATATCGGGAGTAAAAATAATGTTTGAAGGGGATATATCTGAAAATTAAGAGTAAAGGAATCACTGCCATGGTAAACCAAAATGAACCATAAAACTTTTTGTCCACGTAGGTTAAGTTTCTGAAAGAGTATCGTTGTTGCTTCTGCATAACGATGCCGCTCACTGTTAATTCACTTATTGGTCGACCACATTTAAAACTGCGCTGAAGTCGACACTGTGACCTGCATAGAATATGGGTTTCTCACTGGCACTAATACATAGTCATGTATATTTCAAAGATAGGCTTTCCAGTGGATGTTCCGAGACTTTTTTAGCAAACAGTCTTACCGTCTACTTCATTTATAAGCCACTGCAAGTACGAAGAAGTAAATAAACACAACTGGATCAAAGTTGATTTTTCTTAATTCATTCATCTTGTTATAGATGACAGTCAAACATTCGACTGACAATCATATTGTTACCATCTCCTTCGAATGGGAATTCGGTGGACACTGCTTATGCCGTCACTTTCTTCATTCACTTTTTCATCTCCAAATTTAATTAAACACATTTCAATGAATACACTGATACTGTATCACCATGTATCATACGAAGTGGGCTTACCTAACACTGCCAGAATTCTTTTCCAATATTAAATCTCGGTGACATCAAGCTACTTACAAATAAATAGTAGTACAACTAGAACAAGTTAGAAAATATAGAATTTGGAAGTTATAAGTTATATATGTCCAAACCAAGTTCACTTTTAACAGTTTGAAAACATTTGGGCATTGGGTATATGATATTCATTATAATTAAGGTTTTTTGTATTTCCCAATGAATGAAAAGCAAAACAATATTGGAAGTATTAACTTTCAAAGTGCACTACCGCTTTTACTCAGAATTGGGTAGTTTTTTTAAAAATTCACCAAAATAGCAACAATTTACAAACCTATAATTTTAGTACAACGTTTATTAAAACATGAAAAAGCAAAAAAAATTCAGGAAATTACCGATCATAAACATTCAATAGCCAATTTAGTATAAGGTCGACGCATACATTCACTGGACGTTTAATTGAACCAATTAAGTAATGTTTCCTACGCCTCATTGTGTTTTTTCGACCACGGTTAGTGATGTTCATTTCCTTTTCACCAGTACCATTAATAATATTACTATTGCCTTTTGGATTGACTTGCATGATAGTACAAATTGGAAGACTAGAACTTCGATTATCTTCACTGAGTGCATTTTCATTCTCTATTGTATGACAACCTGGATCACGTACAGGTGTTTTAGTCATTTTTCTACTGTTCTCATGTTCATCTGACGAGGATAACTTACGCGCCCGTGTTGTTGAAGAGGAACGCAAAAAGCTGCCCATACAGTTTTTCGATTGATTTTGAGATTGCATTGTGCTTGTCTTAAAGTCATCCTAAAGCAAAAAATGAATAATATAAATATCATTGTTATCATTATTATCATTATTCCTGTCATTGATGCCAAAAATGATAAATAATAATGCTTATTAACAATAGAATTTCTAAAACAATGCTGTTTTGTCCTCATATTTGAGTATTGGACAGAATCTGTCCTAATATCTTTGTCATCTAAGAAGAATTCAGACAGTATGATGTGAATAGTACCTATAGCTTATATTCTTTCACTAGTTCAGCAAACTTTCTTAACAGTGAGTATATTTATGTTTATAACAAGAGTAACTCAGTTTACCTTATAAATCCTTCAAACGTGATATGAATAGCATCGTGTTGCATTTTTTTGATTTTAGTAGATTGTGAAGTAAGTTAAGAATTCAGGGGGTAAACAACTCTCCATATGTCTGAAATTACACTTCATGGGTGTAAATCAGCAGGTGGCCTGGTATGACCATGTAGTCACTGAAATTGGCTACTAACGCCAGATAGATTCACTTTCATCATTCTAACTCTTCAATCATCTTTTAACATTCTCTATCCGAATAGAGATGAAGTGAACAAAAGCTGAGAAAGGCAGATTATTAATTCATCTCTTTGAATCAACGCTTCATTAAGAGGTTGACTACATCTACGAATATCGTAACCAAAGTAAAAACCTGAGCAACACTGTGATTTAAGTTATTGGCTTTTGGGGTAACTGACAGTGTGCAGATTAGACGACTAAAAGAAGCTGATTATCTTATAATACATGATATCCATTAGAATTATTACCACTGTTATTTAGCTAATCAGTGTCATTTTCATGAATTATTCCTCGATGACAGTTTTATCTGAACCACAGGTGAATTATGGATAGTCGTAAGTTCATATACAAAGCGACTGGTTCTCTTAAAATAAAGGTAATCTAGCGTTAAAATAAAAGCAATTTGCAGAACACTGTTTATAATAAGACACCAAACGTTTAAATGCAGCAATAATCGAAAATAAGCAACACACCTCATAGGATCCTGAAGCCGGTAATGTGGAATAACGGTCGGTTACACCAGTTTTCATATTTGAATTAGCTTCTTGACTATCGTTTACGATTGCCTCACCTTCACTGCGTCTTAAAGTTGCTTCCTTCCTATAATTCTGTCCATCTGCTCCATCATTTGAAGAATACTGACCACTGTTATTCAATCCATACAAAGCTCGTGTATGATTAAATAATTGCAGTAAATAATCAATAATCTGTGGCACACTTATCATTCGGTCAAATGGATCACTTGTTTGTTGGCCAAGCATTGGATTACTTATCGACTGTGAATGACCAATATGTTTTAGATTCTCAGCAACGATCGATATACTAATTGAGTCAACTGAAAAGGGAGATAGTTAAAAGACAAATAAAATGAAAAAAAGTGAAGTAATCTGGTTATAAACAAGAATTAATAGATTGGAAAAGTGCACTGTTTCACTTGGCGATGATACAGATCAACATATATTACCAATACAAGACTTAGCATGACTGGTGAATTTAGGTTATACCCACGTATCAAGTAGGTGGAGTTAAAATTAAATCAAAGAAATGAACTTTATAAGATCGAAGCAGCATTTCAGTGGAATATAGATAAGTTATATATATATATATTTATTTATAGAATATTCTATTTGCTGTCAGAGACAGAGTACTTTTCCCACAGTTCAGTAATGAGTTAGCAACAGAGTACTATATATCTGTTTGAACATTCTATTTCATGTTGTTTAATGTAAACCAAAATCACAAGCTCTGTGATTGGTTAAAGAATATAAACTGTATAGATATAAATAGCTGTTTGATCACTTGAAAATATACCTTGTCTTGCCTTCTGCTGTTACATCAGTACTTTTATTAACATAAATAGCTATTGCATATTAAATATAGCTTATTACTATTATTCTTTTGGGTTCCGAGTGGGACATAGGGCTTCAAAAGCATATCTTTATGTTGTCCCGCTCTCTACATTCCTCTTTATTTGGCTCCACGAATGCCATATACATATAAAATATAACTTACTGCCCACAATACGAATTTGTATGTGGTCTTTAAGGTGCATACACAATCTGACAAACGTTTTATCAGTAGTAGTTAAAACGAAACAGGAAACTGGGAGATTAGTATTAGCATCAGTCGTATTGGTTGCTCATATGATAAATTATATATATATATATATATCTTAGCACGTGTCAACAAGTGCTGCAGTTGGAGAAATTACTACTGAACCATTTGAGCTCACAAACGTTGACGATATAAGGTGTTGCTCAGTCTATTAGGATTAGGAATGAAAATGAATTCAAACATAATAACGCTAATATATTTGAATAGTCTAGCAACATTTACTATACTGTCAGATTACTTACAGCATAACTCTTTTTGTAATCGACGTAGTTTCAGACTAGTCCGGTAGTCGGAAAATCGAACAGTATTAAATTGTTTTATTGACTTCATTAGATCACATAGTATTGGATGATCCCATTGAGTTTCCTGAGTTTCATGACTAAAATAAAAAATAATACAGCGCAACAAGTAACAGTGTGAAGCAGTAAGTTAAAGCAAATTCATTCAGTTTTAAAGAGATATCTTAAGTGAGATGAAATTCTCTATAGTCCTACATATATTGATATCATTTTGGAGTATCACTGTTTCACTGGAGGAGAATGTTCATAAAATGATTAAAAAAACATATTTCTTTCAACACTGAACGTGTGAAGTAATATGATAGGTAGACTGAACTATTCAAGTTAAGGTTGATTAATGGTTATCCAACTGGGATAGATATGAATTTTGACTACAATAACAATCAAGTTAGTTAAAATTACTAGGAATCTAATAAATTTTCGAAATGATTTTGGAGATAAGCGGAAAGTTTTCAAATTAGGAAAGTTTTAAGTCTGTTTCACTTTATATTCCATAGGAAAACTATTGGCTTAACGTGACCACGAAGGCTGTCAATCAGATAAAAACGATTTTACTGTTAGTGTGTGAAAGCATTATGATATAGGCAAATTTTTCACTAAATTATAGTTTGCACCATAACAACACAAATCGGATGTAGTTGTACCTTGGAGTTGTAAATCAATACAGTTCTTTTGTTTGACAGACGTTAGTATCTTTCTGATGATTACTATCAATAGCCAGGACGCTTTGGGGCACTAGGTAACGGTACCACCAAACTGAGATCACCTTTTGTTGATTTTTAGATGAGCTCACCAGTCTTTTATTAGTGTTCCCAGTGGAATATAGAGATCCAAACTTTGAAGTCTTAGTGTGGTGAGAGATGGTTGCTAGCCAAATTGGTTGACAGTAATTTAGGTCAAAGGTCAAGATGGACAGGCGCATACAGTTAACATATAGGTGAACTGACACAGGCACAAGAGATGCAAGGTTAAATTTGTGTGAGAAACAACCAATCAACAGACTGTATTTTCTACTAACATTAACCTACAATAATGTACATCAAAATCTATGAATACGTGTTGATTTTCCGTAATAAACGTTCTGTTGCCTGGCCCTTGTCTTCTGTTTTACATTAGTAGCCGTGGTATTCTTGCTAGCCTCACTACAAACCTTCCTCTTTTTGTGCTTATTGCTAGCTGGTAAACTTAGAGATTTTGGGTGATGGAAGCTGGAAAAAAGAAGTCGCTTGGATTAAGTGTGTAACAGGGAGCTAATGAACCTTGTTTTTCTAGATTAAAATACGATATAAAAAGTAATTTTGTGTCATGTATAGCCGGTTTTTCAAAAAAGAATATATTTATGAATGAAAATAAATTTCTAATGAATCCTGAAGTCCACTTAGTCCTCCTTATTCCGCTTGTTTCCAATATTTGGATCCAAAGTCTCTTAAGAATTACTCAGCATATCTACAAACTGACTAAACGCATATCTTTTAAAGTAGATAATTCTGAATTTACTCAGCTGAAGACAGTAGTTTTTTTATTCCTTCACGTTCCCAGTGGAACATAGGGCTTCAAGCTAGAGGCTTGAAGTTTCTTTAGCAGTGTTTATTTTTACAGGATGAGGTTGCTAGTCTCATGCCCAACCTCTCCCCTTTACCAGCTTTTTTATTTCTGGCTTAGCGAGGTAACGGAGTGAGTAGGCCGGGGATCGAAACCGGACCATGTGCATGGTCAGCGAGCATCCTAACCACTGTGCCACCGACGCACAAAGACAGTAGTGACAGAAGTTTAAAACACATCTGAGTGATGGTATAAAATGAACAAGGAGTTTTCAGGCTATGGGCTTTGCATTCTTCACCTACTTACAGCCTGTAAACTGTTCACCTGTGGGGACATTTTGGTACACACAACCTGTTTTCACAATCAACTGTGGATCTTGAATACAAAGGTGTGAATTTTATATTTCAGCATATTGCATGAAATAATCTTGCTAAAATTTCATTCAGCTAAGTTATTAAGTGAACACTGTATATGATTCAGCTTACTTTTTGTAATATGGAACCTGTGTACCAGATGGGTGAACGCATCTTTCCCAGGGTAGACGAACAGAATCTGAAAAGTGAAATAAAGTGTACTCACAGTTGCGTGATAGATAAATTCATTCAGAAGATACTGCTGCGATAAAAAAAGAAACGAAGCCACGTCAATGAGCAGTACAATTTTAGCCAGCTCTATAATTCAGCGGGATAATTCACAAATAAGATACAACATATGGTCTTGATACTAGTAGTTTTTAAGAAAAATCAACATATATGAATGGTGTGAATTAATTTCATCTTGAAAAAAAACTAAAAGATAAATTCGCTAATGCAGACTGTTGGGGAGCAGAAACTTATTCTTCAGTGCTTAGTAGTTGCGACAATAGTAGTTCCAAGGAGTGCAAAAATAATCCAAAATAAAAATGTAAGCAGAAAGTGTTTAAGATTTTTCAGTAAACAATAGAGATGCTTTTAATGATCATTTTGGTCCAAAGTATAAAGAAAAAAGCGTTGAATTCGTTGGAAACAGTTGAAAACTATTATTCTAAAATGTACAGCTCTGAATTCTCATTGTCTGACGCGTGTTTTTATGACAAGAAATAAAAGATCATAAGCGTGTTCAGAAGCAGACTGTCTGAAGTTGGGATAGCCAAAGAAAGGAATTTCAATATCACTTCCTATTATTTCTAACCAACAGATTCCCTGAAAAAACGTATTGCCAATCGGCATTACCAAGTACTTGTATACAAGTTAAGACTGATGCGACTTACCGTGTAAAGGAACACTCCTGGTATGCACTGAAGCTTCTGGTATAGACGGTTCAAGTGGTTCTACCGGGTCATAACGTGATGCTTGAGTACGTTGTGAGGGAGTACGAGTAACAGTTTGGTATCTAGGTCTCTGAGGCATCATTTGTAGAGCGGATAAACTTTGATTCAGATGATGAATCCTAGTCTGTGTGACAACACGAATCCTTTCAAACCTTTTAAATAATTAAAAACGGGATCAGTTAGAAATGAAAGGTAATAAATAGAAGGCATAATATTTCATAGTGAAATCATAATTTCTACTGTCCGAAGGAAATCTGATAAGGGCAATCAAAAGTTTTCGATGATGTTGAAAGCTATGAATACGGAATTTAGACCTTTCAAGGGACAAACCCAGAATAAGACTTCATGCGTGTCTTGCTAACGAATGTCAACATGTAACTAACTTTCACTGGAGGCTTTCGGCCAGTTGATTCTCAATAGCTGGTACATTGAAGTTTATTTGCTTCCTTCAGTTATTGCAATGTGTACATCATTGACTTAATCAGCCGTTTCCTATTTATGCTTATAATCTATAAGGTTATGTTTAGCAATTCTTTACTGAATACTAAATGTTGAACTGTTTTCTGTAGCAATTTCGTTGCTGTTAAGTTTCTATGCTTCAGAGATTCTATAATGGTTAACCCAGACATAGCTCAACTTTCACATTTTAGATCAGTGTAATCCATATAGCTATAAGATGAGGTATTTATAAAGGCTGAATGCTGTTTAAAATAAGCAAATGACAGGTTCTACTCCACTTTTCAGCTACAAAACGAACTCAGTCCAGATTGAGAACACCAGCTACCAATGAGTACCTGTAAAAATGAAGCATATTTCTTGAGACTTTCTGTAAATGAATGCCTATAGCGTGTGATGTTATGAACAACGTTGCTTAGTAATCTGACGAATCACTTGAAGAAACATCAATGTTACTACTTTTCTTAATTTGCTGTGTGCCTTTGAAAGCAATCACAAAGTTGATAATTCCCATGAATCTTCTACACTAGAAATTGTTCCAATTCTTATGCATGACCTATTTATATTTCATTTGTTCTACAAAGTTATATTATAGGACACAATAACAACACGAAACACAGTAAAATGTGACGACAACTCTAAACGCATTATTATTATTATTAATACTAATATTATTATTATAACTTAAATGTAGTAATAGTTAATATGCAAAAGTGATTAATTATGCATGAATGGAATGAATTCTAAGATATGCCTAGCGGGGTTAATATTTCCTTTGTATGTTCCATTTATTTTAAATAATAAATCTTTTGAATAGCATTATATAACTGTTGAAATAATTTTATCACTGTTTCAATCAGATTCAAAGTTCAGATTGTTCCGAGATTTTCGTAATATTTATGGTATGAATATTTCCAAGTTTCTGAATAACATTTCAGCCTTCAGTTGATAATACTGAGATGTATTACTCTAGGATTATCTATGTACACTATGTGAATATGTACCCTTAGTAGCTGAATCAATTTACTTTGTTTACATCTTAAATAGCCGCACTGTTGTTGTTGATTATTAAAAAGGTATGACAAGTTAAATCAGCATGCTGTTTTACAAACCTTAAATGGTGTACCTGTCAGTCGGCTTATTACCGAAACTGTTCAACTGTACTTCATTACCGAGTTCATCGTTGAACACTCACTGCATTTAGGTAAAGAGATTCCAGTCCTTTGAAAATCATTTGTGAATAAGAATCAAAAACTAGGCATTGTATAGAAATCAGCACCAGGAGTATGTACGTATGTTATCTTGACAGTATTCATTCTTGACCGTAGGTGTACAGATCTCTTGGTAAGCAAGTCATAAATTAGTTTCTAAATAGTATCTAATTTTTGCTCGGTTTTAATAGTTACGCCCATATTGTTAAAGTAATGAGTACTATTCAAACGGTGACTATCATTAAGTACTGTAACTTATAAAGCGTACATGCTTAGTTGATAAGCTTTTCGACAAATCAATTTTACTTACTCATTTCTGATGCAGTTGAGTTGTACACGTAGTTTGGGCTCAATCTGGACTTGTATTTCTTGCAACTGAAGGACTTGTCGTTCAAGGCTATCCAGTGAATGCGCTAATGGCTCACAAGCTTCATAGAAAGACTGCAGAGAAAATAAAATATTATAGAGTGAAAAACTTTTAAAAGAGTATAAATCCACTGTGAAAATGAAGATAAAGCAACTGATATTAAAGAGAAAGCCTGGACTGCTACAAGACTGAAACCAATTTCTAGTAGGTTTGTATCCCAATGTGACTGAGGTGTTGATTTTTAACTTCAAACATCACCCGAGTATATTACGATTAGCAGACTGTTAGCTACAATTTTAACGCAAGGCAACGGGGTAGTCACTATTAGAAGAACTACCTGTTTATGATGGCCACGGCAGGGACAAGGATTGAACGAATTTCTTTCGGATACATAGCGTGGGTTTCAGCTTTTGGATGGCTAGTGCCTCGGCTATGCCCAGATGTCTTAATTTCACTCCCTTTGATAGGTTTGATCGAATCTTGTATATTATTTTGAAGGATTTTTCGAATGGCGCTGAATGTCCTGAACTGACCAGATGTTCTGTAACTGAACTATATACCCGTTTTCGTTCTCCTTTTACCAGTCACACTGGATAGCGTTCACGGGCGCGTTGCCTTTCTTATCCAAACTTCCTGTTTATTTATGTTATTTTAAGTTTTTCTTAATCCCTATTTACACTACCATATTTTCATATCCAAACTTCCTGTCTATTTTGTCATTTTATCATTTCTACATATTTAATCCCTGATTGCATGAAAAATTATCCGTCTCATTAGTTATGATCCCACTAAATTTTTTATCCAAACGTCCTGTCTATTTTTGTTATTGCTACATTTCTAACCCATAATCGCACAATATGTCAATCTTCTCAGTAATTATGATGCTACTTTGTCTGAGCTTTATTCGTCCCCCTGTTTTTTATGGCATTTTAATTCCTAATTGTAATTTTATTAATCTGACCCTTGACAAGAAATTATTCTGGAACTTTCTCACCCATTTATTATAAATACACGAATGTACAGCTCAGTTGATGATTTCGTCGGAAAGAAAATTTTCTTCGGTGCAACTGAATTTTCAAGTGATTTCACTCCTGCTGAGTTAAAATTATTTTTGTATGCAATTACTGGGTCAAATACTTTTGCTTACAGCTTCACCATTTTCAGTTAAGAGGGTTTTAATGGTCACTTCATAAATTTTAATTCGAATAGGGATCAATTATGAAGACAATTTAGATCTTTCTGTTTTTAATACTTTATATTTCCGATTTAAGTAATGAGTTTTGTACCTAGCATCTAACTGAACCCAGCACATATGAAAAGAACTATGCCTTTTAAGAATGACCTAAATAATAATGGAACAGCTTTTTCATGCATCTTTGTAATATATTTTCATGCACTGGTAGACTTCCGTACAGTTCGACAATTTGATAATGGCGGTGGTAAGTAGTTAAGTCAGGAAGTCTATCCTACACTCAATTGTGTTGAAGTAAACTTGTTTTACGTGTTTTTCATTATTAACAAATTTGTCTTTCAGCTTTGTCGTGAAGATATAGTCAGCAGCCAATAGTTTGATTTGAAGCAAAGCTACCTACTTGATATAACCAAACAATTAGAAAAAAAGTTACTCTTTTATTATAATTCATTCTTTGCCTTCAAATTGGAAGATAAAGCTTCAATGGCGCATCTCCATTTTATACGGTTCTCTGTCATTGTTTCCAGTTGTCTCCATGACAACCCACAAACTTTCATTTTTTCTCAACATTAAATCCTTTCATGTCACCCTCAAAAGCCGAACTCGTCACTTCCCATACAGATTGCAGCCTGGCGTCTCATGTCCCCGCTCTTAGTATTAACTTAAATTTATCTTCAGATATTCAGGATGAGTTTCCGACTGTAAAATTTGTGAACACAAAGGTTTCCTTGATATTCACGCTTTCATATTCACTTTCGTAATAAAATTAATAAAGCCGATAAAATGATTATAAATTTATGTATACAATATTACAGATGTATTTTCCTATTCTTCAAGCAAAATTTTCTTTGCTTTCTTTCTTGCACATTCACAAAGCCACACGTATATAATATGTCTGCCAACATCTTAGTATAATGTGTTCCGATGCTGTGTGAAGTTTACCGATGAAGCTATTAATCCTGACCACTGAACTGGTCAGTTTATCTTAATAAAAAACGGAGTTATGCTCTAGATGTCTGAATGTTTGAATTTTCCAACAGACAACTACGTAATTTTCTTAGCTACACTTCAAGGGTCAGCTGATGGCGAAAAAACGTTGGGAAGCCATTCAGACATATAGGATTATTAGTTAATTAAAATCTAGACACATTTATAATAATAAATTTATTTCAGTAACCTAGCAACATGCCTTTTCCCATTAGTGCTTATACCATAACATACTATATTCGACTGTATTTGCCTGACTAAAAGAAATGAAATATAAAACGCTGCTGAATGAGAGATGGTGAATACAGATTCCTACGTAGCCTAAGAGTAACAGCACAGACACAAGTAGAATTAGACAGACGTCCTAGATTTCGATATAATTCTATTTTTTTTAGAATTTATTTTATTGGGCTATCAGCATAAAAGTCAGCAGTCTCTATAAAGTCTCTGACTAACTCGCCTAAAGTCACCATTAGGTCATTTCTACAATTCATCCACTTACGATAGTATTGCTTCTTAGATTCATTTATCAATTCTAAAAGTTTATTTATTAATGATGCATCGAATACTTGAGTCATTTTAATTAAGTGGTTCAAAAATAAATTGTCCTAAAAGAAAACTTTTTCCACAATTTAAACTTAAACTCTTTAATTCTTCTTAATTATAAAATGCACTTTAACAAGATACTTGTGATTTTCATTTATCATATAAAGGAAGGTTGCTTTTGACTTGCCCTTAAAACATTTTATTCTGCCTTTTAATCCTGCAATCAGTCAACACAATAATGACAGTACAAAATTGATAGAGTTTATTTTATTGCGTGTATTCACTAATAATGCTTCCTTCCAGTGAATTAGATTATTTGTTCACTTTTTCCATTACCTCTTGGATCAATAAATGAAAAGTGGGATGATGATAAGTGCAATTAATTAGAGGAAAAATGATAATAATGATGGTGATGGGTGGGGGGAGGGTCTGTGTGAGTGATATGACACTTTGTTTCGCACATAAAGTTTATTTAGCAGGTTGGTATTATACGAATATAGTCAACTAAAATCTTACAGATAATCATATTTCTTTAGAAACACAAAACTGTTGTATTTATGCTGGGAAATTCTCCTTTTGATTAAAGTTCAAAAGTTCTTAAATAAGTCTACACTTGGTTAATAATAGAGGAGAGAGAATTTAATTTTCAATAAACTAAGCTAACAGTATGAGCATCAATCACTTTATTAGAAAATCTCTCCAAGAAATGAATACAGTGTGATAGTCTCGGTGACTTAATTTATTGCAGAATAAAACTCCATCTCGTATTTTACACACAAATTTTTATGGATCTTGAAGATTTATCTGTGTTAATCACTACCTTCACTCGATACCGAGGATCGGATGGCCGCTCTGGCAGGCGGTTAACCAGCTATGAACCCATTGCCCAACAAATATGCAGAACGAGATGGATTGCATGTACACTGAGGAGGTGACAACGCATGATATGCCGGCCCATTAGTGGAAGTCGAATGGGAAGCGACATTTCAGGCTCTCGCGGAGGAGTTAATGTGAAGGGGAAATGAAAAATGAGCCAGCTGAAAGTGAATGCATTGAAGCGAGTGGAATGGCGAAGTGCCAGTGAAGCCTTGGAAAGCAAGGAATAATTTATGTACTATATATCCCCTTCTCCCGCTCAACCTTTACCTTAAATAATATTAAACTCCACAAGTACACTGAATAATATAACGATATTCTTTTAGCAAAGATCCATGTCTCTTGGTCTGTGATGAATAACGACAAATCTCAAGTAAATAAAAATGCTATTTTAATTTTCAAACAACTAACCTTAGTTTGATCTAATTCCGTTTTTATATGTTCACTTGCCAAACGTTCAATAGGGATCCATTTAAGGGTTACTGATTCAGCACTTTTTACTTGAGCAATAGCATCATTTAATAATGAACCGAAATTGGACAGACGCTATTTTTATTAAGCATAAAACAAAAGTTTAAAAAAACAAAAGCCAATAGAGAGCTACAGAAAGGAAGAAAGGTCTAGTGGAAAATAAACATTTCATCGTTCTACGTTGAAATAGCTTCATAGAATACCATGTCTACTGCTACAGATAACTGTTTCGGGTATACTTTAGCTATAACCAAGATTTATGCACACGTGTGATTTCCCATCGGTATCGTTTTGAACCAAATTGATCAGTGTCATTTTAGTAGGGCTTCTAACGTCAGGTTGTTTATATGTTGGCGGTTAGCAGTAGAATCTAAAACCTGCATTTCGTAGTAATTCGGATTATTTTGATCAAAAAAGATGTCAGCTGGTTATTTCACGTATATACAAATAATTTTAAACCTAACCCACTGCACGAAAGGGTGGCCGTTATGGCTTATTAACCTACTGGATAACACCCTAGTATTTTAATTGAACGGTTCTGAATTCAAGTCTCATTGAGAAGACATTCAGTCAATGAAATGTAGATATGCACATGTGGAATTCCACTGCTAACCACCAATAAACAATAAACCTCAAAAGTCAGCACTACAATGAAAAACTGCATTGTCTAAGCACTTACACCTTCAAACATAGTTGTTACTAGATATATAATTGGGTTTGTTAGTCTGAAGTCGCTTTAATTTACTTTCTCATATGTGTCTAAGGTACGTACGTAGAAATTTAAAGCTAAAATAACTACACGTAACTTTATAGAAAGGAAGACTTATGAGTCAGCTACAAAAATTGAGAACGTGTTCTTATTATCGTGTTTAGAAGTACTGAACTACACGTGAATAAAATTCCTCTCAAATATCTAGTAAGTGTACTTTAGCCTTTTCTGAAAAATTCAGCATTATGATAGAGATAACAGATAGGATTTCTGAGTTTTAAATTTTAAAAAATTCATATTACCTTTTAGAAATTCACTTAACAATATTTAATCGGCAAACGTTGTTTGCCACCTAATGTCTAATGATTCCTAAATATCTAAGAGTATTTATATACATATGAATACATGATACATCTTTTAGTTAAACCCTCAGCTTCCTACAACGTCAGATAAAACCGTCAATTTGCTGAAAAAAGTCCATATGAAGCTGGTTTCAGATACTTGTTGAGTGAGTTATTACTGTTACAAGATATATATATATATATATATAATATTATATTGATGATACTGAAACTTGCCTCCCAGATAGCATCAAGTTGACATTTAAAGTCTAACATGCTATTATTCAAATTCAACCATCTTTTCTTCAAGTGATACAAGTGTCGCCTTATCCGACGATTTGTACGCATAGCACGATCTTCTGCAGTGCATTGTTCACTACCACTGGTTGGTTTACTTTGACCACCTGAATCAGACGCTTCAGACTCTCCATCATAATCACGTTCACCTGATTGCAAGTTAGGCAATTCGTCTCGTTCTGCACTACCACCACTGCTATACTGTGCATTTCCATGGCACAGGACTTCTTCAATTTGTAAACGATTCACATTCAATTCTTGAAACAATCCCTTTATTTAGTTTTGAAAAAAATTTAAAATAAGGAAATTAAAGAAAACAGCAGGAATAATAAGGATACCTCAAAAACGTTTTTAATGAGAAACACTGTATTTCATCCGAAAGGCATTGTAAGAAAAAAGACAATAAAGCGAAAGGAAAAATAAAAAATTAGAGATTAAAATTCACTTATGAATAAATTTAATTTGGATCCTGATCATGTGATATTTAAGGGATTCAAAGAAATAAACACAAAGGTAGGAAAACGGTTTCATTCATTTCACGATAATATTTGCTCTAGTCGTGGAAATTGTGAAGAACAATCATTCTTAGGCTGAAGCAGATATTCAGAAAACTGAATTCTTCTTGTTTTGAGAACTGCTACTTATTCATATCAAGCAAAACTTTTATTTTCTCGTTGCCACTTTGAGTGGAATAACTATGTTCTTATCAAGATTTGTATTTTATGTACATCTATACAACACATCAAAATTATTACAGAATGGATACTTTTAGGTTGTAATTTATTGAGTTTATAGGTTTACTTTGTCGGTTTATTCTAATAGTACCTTCATTCAAATGACAGTTATCAAAAATAGATTAATCAAGTTAATCTGATAATCTGGCTAGGATCCATATGATAAGTGAATCCCATTACTTGGAATCGATTGCACTGGCTTTGCACTGGTCTATGCTTTGGATAGCGTCTGTTTGTTTGTGTGCATATGCTGATATCTAAACGCCTGCTCGAAAACCCACAATAATACTAGTATGGAAGCATTCACAATTCCCCATGTCAGCGATTATCTCATTATTCTTCACTTTATTTATTTATTTTCTAAATTTCACATAACTGTAGCTCTAACTTATATCAAGAGAATATAAACAACGTTAGTCATGCTCTTGTTTTAATGAAGCTACATTCTAGAAACGACACACTCGAAATTCATCAATTCTCATTGTAATACAATGATGTATTTCGCGTTTAAAGTTGGAAAAACACCCAGTTAACATTCAGCTAATATTGGTAACTCAGTAAGTGTAATACAAAAAATGTTAATTATTCAAATGCATCAACCATCAGGATTATTTTTCTTATCGTCTGACTTCAGTCGACATTCGGTCCTACGTATGGACACAATGTAAAGAAACACTAAACCTAGGGATTACTATGAAATGTATCTGATTAGGTAATATACGTGTTTTTGTTACGAATGCGGTTTATTAGCTCAAGTCGTTAATATCTGCACGATTAGTGGCTTGAAGGATGTAGTCAGGATACTGGAAAACGCTTCATATTAACAAATATGCTCCGGCAGGTTCTCGATATCTTTCTGCAAACGTAGAACATCAAACAAAAAAATATTTGAAAGCGACACTAGGAAAACGATTATAAGTATGTTTTTCATCCAAGCGAACTGAAGCTTTGCATTCAATCCGAATGATTCTCGGAAAAATGTCACTTCGAAGTTATGTTTTAAGTTTATTATTATTTTCACATTCCTTTGTTTTTCAAGACGGACATGCGCGGTCAAGCTTTAAAATTTCAGTAGCAATGGTGTTCTTTTTATGGCGTGGGGTTGTCAGCTTCACACCCAACCTTCTGAGCTTCCTGGGGTTAGGAGTGAGTCGATCAGGAATCAAATCTTGACCTCGCATGTGGCTGTATTATATGTGACATGATCCAAATATAAATGAATAATGTCCTACAGAACATGACCACTCCCACATTAGTACAAGAAGAATAACCCCTTAAACTCCATATTGCTTTCTTCAAAAATGTGCAGTGTAATTAGATATAAAAAGAAGCCAAGACCATCAGAGGATCACAGCAAGAGGTCAATAAAACTCCACCTATCACCATCCCATTTCAAGTGATGATGCAGATCTCACTTGTACACAACTTAGTTTAACAAAAATACAATGTTACCAACGTGTCTAACTAAGATCGTTGGGGAAAATTTCTTTAGAAATTCAGTTTAATTGAATTTTAATGTATTTTATCAATTTAACAACAACAAGGGTAATTAAAAGATAAGGAAGATGATGACACGTAGCCTGTTGAACATATTTATTCCGAGAGAAACTTAAAATAGCTGTGATGTTTTTTCACTAGTGTGTTTAGATAATTTGTAGGTGCTTTTCTGTGCTTAATAAGAAAGGAAAAACAAATAAAAAAGAGGAATTCATGAAGTTACTTCTCTCCATTTATCCTTTTTTGAGCACCAAAAGTTCAGCCTTTTTTGAGTTATTCGTTTACCTTAGTCATGAACTCATCAACTCAGAAAGAAATAAAAAATCTATCAGTTTAATCAGTTGACTGACCACTGACCCACATCATCTATTTACTTTTTACAACCATCCTTATTCTCAGTAGGTGCTGATTTAGTGCATACGTGTTGGAAAATAAATATAAGTATTTAGTTAAAGGATACTGCTCACATTATTCTCTTTTCATCTTTAAAAATCTTTAAGGAACCTGATGTTTTCTCCACATACACTTTAGTAAATATATGCAAACAAGATCCAGCGCTTCTAAATAATGTGGCTTATTAGCTTAAGCCAGTAGGTTCCAGGATCAAATACAGCCTCACCTACTTCAGGTAGTAAGATAAGTCCTCACACACCACGTGTGGCTCACAACCTGCAACATGAAAGACCTGTTCCGAGAGCTGTAGTCTAACTGGGCTGTTTTAAATAATAAATGGTCTCCAAGATTATGACTAAATAGCCATCCAGTGTATCTCACTTCATTCTACATGATTATTTCTTTCTTAGACTGAAACACAAATAAACAATTCGTGGATCGTAAACATAGGAAGAGGAATACTATACATCAAGGGTACTGAAAGACTCATCCATCCTACGCACTAGATAACTAAAGAGCATGACTCAAGGCTTCAATTTCTCACACCAGACACGTTACCATCCATTATTATCTTCATTGTTTTCATCCGCATATCACTGCTGACAGCTGCGTTACATTTAAACAGAATAATTTTCGTCTGTATTTCAAATGATGACAATAGTGAACCAATTTGTGATAGAAAACTCCCAGTTACTCATATTATTGAGCAGGAAGGTTCAAATGTTGCTATTACCAACCTTGTACAGTTGATAATTCTTCCGTTAATTTCAACTCAGTGCTAATTGAAAAATATTTTGTAAACTGAGAAACCCTTCATTTATATTTTCTATGTACCTGAAATGGTTATTTTGTCATTGCTGATAACGATTGGCTAAAACGAAACATTCAATGGCTGATGTAGTAGCGGAGTCACTGAAAGTCCACAATAAGCATTTCTGATCACACGCTTCTAAGAGTGGTAACTTCAATTGTCACTGGAGATGACATGTAATGTATATTTCATACAACTGGTTCCCTTGATAAATTTCGATAAAGAAAGGAAGACGAAATTTGCAGTATAAAATGATATCATTCTATTTCACAGGTTCTCATCAGCTGCAGACTACCTGAAATTACAATTATATAAATTCAGGTAGTCTGCAGCTGATGAGAACCTGTGAAATAGAATGATATCATTTTATACTGCAAATTTCGTCTTCCTTTCTTTATGTAATGTATATTTGTCGAACTTATCATACTATCTAGCAGTATATTTCATGGAAAAAATATTTTAATCACGTTAGAAAGGGTAAACTACTGATTGTGACTATTATTACTATTGTTATTTTGGATTCCCGCTGGAACATAGGAATTCACCGGCACATCTCCACTTCACTCGTGGTTTCCCATTCGGGTAATTATGACTATAAGCTAAATAATTTCAATAAATCAATATAGTTTTTCCTAGATAAGCTACCTTTAACTTTGATAAAATACACCCCTCCCCCCTCCTATATTACCTCACAACACTTTCTTTTTTGGTTGTTACATCCTCTTCTGTTTTTCCCATTTAACGTTAATCAGTGACTCTGCGGCATAGCTTTTCAGCAAAAATCTATGAAGGTGCCATTTTTTCGGTTAAATTCTTCTGAAAATTACTGATTATCAACATCAAAAACACATGATATATAAGTGAACTAAGAGTGCTCTAAACGGCTCAACCAGGTAAAACGATTGTACAAAACACACAATGGAAAGTAATCGAAGTGAAACAGTAAGTAGGATGTTTAATGTTTTTAAGATTAGATGTTAAACAGTAAAATACAGTTTATAAAAAAAATTAAATTGAAGATATTTCATACACACTACACGTGTACGGCATCGTAAATGCAAAAGAGTAATTAGTTACTAATCTTTATTATACGTCTGAATGCATCTGTCGATTAAAACATTTGAAAAAATGGAAGTTTTTTGAAACATGATAATACTGCTAACAAGAGGACTTAAATTAACTATTGATCGTTAAAGTAAATCCCACAGATAAAAAGTCAGTTACTAGCACTAACCAAGAGGCGAAAGACAATGTGCATCACACTTCTTTTGTTTAGAGGCGTATGCGTATTGTTCTTTCTTATTTTGAGGTTTCCAATTTATTTTTGGTAGTGACTACGCGTTTTCAAGATAATGTGAATGACACCATTTGGTTCAGCTTCACCTTAAACTGTACCTTGAAACTTTAGTTTTATTTGGACAGAAGAGTTTTGAAGTTGACATTATTAGCTCTGTGAGACAGTGGTCAACGTTTAGGATAAAAGTAATCAGAGAAGTTGTATGATATAATTCATAACACCTAACTTTTATCCTGTATAGACATCCATTTATTTCTAGTTAATCAAATCTTGTAATGTTCATTTGATTAGGTGGAATGGTATCTTAAATCATTGTGCTAGTCAATGCCACCGCATTTAATGGTCTCGTTTGTATATCAGATATTTATCATTGCCACACAGGATCTAAATATGCTCATTTTTTCATTACTCATCCATGATCTAAACGAACAATTTGCTTTATCCATTGTTGCCTGACTACTTTGAAGGAAGGTCATTAAGCTAAACACGATATCAGCTCATAATGCCGAATTAAAGTGATGTTACAGCCAATAAATAACAAGGTTACGTAATCGTTAAGTCAGTTTGAGCGTTTAGATCTGCCAGTTGTTCATCACTGAATACTGTGGAACTTTTGGCTCTCACTCATCATACTACTGATTGATATGAATAGTCGAAAACTTCTCGTGAGAGCCATTCATATTGATATGGGATAATCATAATAATAGCCTCTCTGTTTCAACATGATTTAGGGTATCAGGATCACAGTATATTGTAATCTGAGTATTTTGTACTTCACAAATAAAACGGAGTTAAACATGCTTCCACATGAAACGTTTTACAAACACCTTGTTCAAGTTTCGTATTAGCTTGGCGATCAGGATTCCTTGAAGGAATATAAAATGAGACATCTTTTTGGGAGTTAGAAACCTTCACTGTTCCAGAACTCCAAGGCAAATGACTAGAAAAGTCCAAATTAGTTTTGTCTAGGTCATAACAAATGTGTTTAGATCACTTATCACTGTGTTGTTCAGTCATCTACCGTTTTAGACAGGTTTATCCAACGAAGTAAAGCCTACCAAATGTTGCTCAATATTTTATGCCCTACTTAGTAATAGTTAGTGACGTTCAGATCATGACTCCAATGAGTAAAATTACGAGGTATTCGATGCAGGAACTGACAAAAGATACTAGTAACCTTGGAATTTCTAGTCGTTCCTCATACTAAAAATAGACCCCTGCATTAAGTGAGAGCTACTGTACAAGGCAATACTCAGTTTATGGAGCAGCGAAATTGCAGCCGAGATGATCAGAGAAAATCTGTCGTGCAAACGTCATTTGAGAATGAATTTTCAACTCCTAATTAGTGTAAACTTGTTCAGTACCGTGTAATACACAGTGATATTGTTTAACAAAAGAAATCGCGTTTTTCAGTACAACTCCTTATTGTAACTAAATAACAATGACAGAGTTAAAATAAACTTGACTTACCAATAATTGTTCTCTCAAACTGATCACATTACCTAAATCACCCTGAATTGGTACAAGAATTTCACGAAATGCAGCATCTCTATGCGATAGCCAATCGTTTAGTTCCTTTAATCTGGCTAAATATAAGCTTGCATTACTTGAACTGGAGTGCATTGTACGTCTGTTGACAAGAGAGTGTATATTAAAAAACATAATAAAAACTGGATGAATTATTGTAAAGAAAATATCATTAGTGAAACATTATTTTGAGTACAGATTCTTAGTTGGTCTAGACTGACAGTACAACACAGTTCACTGAGCTATTCAAGCACAGAATTACAAGTGAGAAAGGATTTGGACACAAATTTTCTAGTGCATTTGAATAATCTGGCAACATGTTTTATGCCATCAGTCATCACTTCTTCTAGGCTGATATAATGCTGAAGAGAATTCCATTTTCATTGCATTTTGTGAATACTTCTTTTAACCCGCATATATTAGTAATGATTGACATGATAATCTGTTGTATTATAATGAGTAAACTAATTTTTAGATTATGAATAGTGTCGCTCTTGGTAGCAATGATAGGCAGAGGATGAAAATGTCTATTGTGATGAATCATGGTATTTTAGTACAGGGTTGTAAAATCTATATTAAAAACTTCAGAGTTGAGTCTTGTCTGTCAAGACAACTCAAACCACGCCTAACATTCAAGCCAAAATTATCATCATGCTTATCTCGGTAGTCATCATTCATGTACAGCTCAAGTCAAAAAGCCTTTGCCTGTTCCCATTCACAAAAGAAAAGTCTAGTTTCAGTATTCCATCGGAACAACACTTCCTCTGACATTGAATAATTCCTTATGAAGACACGCTGCAAAATTCATTTGCAAACTGATTAAATCAGTCAGTTATGACAAACAATAGTACTGAGCCCTTACTACTTGGTTATATGGGTTAAAGAACAGTAATAAAATTAGCAGAGTTGTAAAATGTTGAACTAGAGGATTGTAAACAAAGACAAAACAGTCTGTTTCAAACACAAATTGACTTCTGCGCATATTATTTAACAGGTTTTATGTGCAGCCTTATTTAAACTAACGTAAACGACTTGATCGGACATTACTGAATGTCAAACATAATATTCTGAAGACGTTAGTCACCTAAATGGGGCATCCATTTGACTAATTTTCTCAACATATAAGTCGAACTGTTAGTAGCATGTAACAATCTGTCTACATACTTATAGATTTTTTAGCTTATGGACAGTGAGTAGGATGAGAAATTTTCCACAACACTTTCGTCCTTTCAGATGGAGAGTTACCCCCTTCGTGTATGAGTACTGTTGTCGGCCAACAGTAGCTACATGGCAACAATGCAAAGAGTTATTAAAAATTAAACTACTACTGCTAACAGTCATGGAGACCTTGCCTACTTTACTGTCCTGTCCTAAGCCCAGGGAATCAATCCAGTCGCTACAGAAAATTCAAAGCACAGAAAGCCGAAAAAGCAGAAGAAATTCCTCCAGAAGTCCTGTAAACGGGTCGATAGACCACAGCAGATGTGTTAATGCCACTATTGCAGAAGTTTTAGAAAGAGGAGAAGGTAACTATCTATTGGAATAATGGACAAACTGTTAAACCGCTAAAGAAGGGTGACTTGAGCCTATGTAAGAAAAGGAGCGACTGCAATATTCTGTCCAACCCAAGAAAAATATAAAGCCGCATCGTCCTGGAAAGATTAAAAGGTGCTCTTGATAAACACCTCAACCAGGAATAATCTAGATTCAGAAAAAGTAAACCATGTGACGATCTAATTACAAGGTTAGGCATTATAGTCAGACAAAGCATAGAATAGCAGTCAAATCTCTATCTCAACTTCATCGACTTTGAAAAGGCCTTGAATAGCACCGATTGTGAAGTAATTTGGAAACTGTTTCAAAACTGTAGAGTGATCTGAACCTTTAGCAACCTCATCCAAGGGATGTATGACAATACCGTATGCCAAGTGATTCACGGAGGAAAGCTCAGTGAAGCTTTTGAAGTGAAGACAGAAATAAGGCGAGGCTAATTACTAAATCAGACCTTCAGTACTCTAAAGTCAGTGTAGAAATCTGCTGCACTCAGCTTAAGGAACAAGATTCGGATTCTCAACACTCATGTTAAGTCAGTTGTCCTAAATGGTTTAGAGACTTGGTGCATCAGCCAAAGCACTTCCAGTGGTCTTCAGACATTTATCAACAGCTGCCTTTGCTTCATACTGAAGATCAAACGGTCAAGAAGGATCGGCAACAGGGAACTCTGGCAACGAAACAAACAAGAAACTGCCGCCCAACAAATATGCCGAAGAAAGTGGAGATGGATCTGAAGCATGCTGAGATTATTGAGTGGCATGGCGCCCCAGACCCGAATGGGGAACGACAAGTTGGATACACGTCAGAGAGGCATATGAAGGAGATGCGACCATATGCCCAATTTCTGAGCCAGATAAAAAGGACTTCAGAGTATAGAGTGAAATGGAGAAGTGCTACTGAAGCCCTATGCTCTACTTGGAACCCAAGGGAATAATAATAATAATCGATCATGGATATGGAGGGTAGAGAAGAAAAACTTGATTTTATTACTACAAGCAGACAAATAGCTGATATATATATTTATATATATGAAAATAAGTGAATACTCTTATTATAGTGTAATTGCTTAAACAACTATGTGTTTCTCATTCTGAACTAAAATCTCCACCGTTTATTTGTTCGTATTTTCGCTTATCGTGACCATATACATATGCTTAGAAACACGGTCTATAATTTCATTGACTTTTAGCAGTATTCGCTACTTTATACCGAACTATGAAGAGGATGTGTCATCGGTGCTGGTATTATTATTTAAGTCACAGAGCAATTTCGCAGGACACAAGTTGACGAATAACGCAAAAACAGAATATGCTACAGGCTTTGGATCTGGCGAAGCAACATAGTCACAAAGTTTTGCTTGTTATATATAATGGAAATACAGCCTCATATTTTAGTAAGAATTCTTTGGCTACCTGATAACTGACTTAGTTTTCATTGGCTGTCTGTTAACTGTTACTTAAATACTTTATAGTTCAATTATCTAAGTTGGGTTTTTATATACAAATAACAGTTGCTTAAATATACGGAAAAAGATACATGCCCAGCTTGTCAGTATTCTGACATCAATTCACCATAAACCTACATAAGTCATGTGGCTTTCACTAGCAGTCATTACTCGACCACAGTTTCTACCGGTTGGATGGATAAACCATGCAGTGACAAGCCAGCCGCATTAGGATTATGTAACACTCGCCTGATAACATATAATTTAATAATACGTGTACCATTAAAGAGAGGACAATGAAGAAATCTTCCCAATCGCTGAATGATAGACTAACTATAATATATTGCTCTACAGATTTCAAGGAAATCAATGGATTGGGTTATGACATTAACTATCTCCCTACACTGCATTCTTCAGAACCGGCAAACATACCATCAGCAAGTTAAACTTTTAGAGATGATCCACCCAAGCATAAATCTGAATGTTAGTGGTTATAGACAAGTCGATCTGTTCTGAGTGAGAACCACTGGTAATTTAAAAAGACATATATTCTTACACTGCCTGTTAATTCCCAGTAAATCACTTTAATACCATGTTTAAATTAACAGTATTGTTCAATACAAAGTAATTGGGTAACTACTTTTTTTCTATGTGATTCAGGATAAATCCTCATGAATGAAGATGCGGTCTTATTGTGTAAGTTGAGCATCATATATGATGATTCTGTCACCTCAATGTGAGAAGCAATTTGCATTGAGTTCTTCTCGCAGGCTAATGCATTGATCTTGACACGTAGATTAACTTGTACTGGTCCTATTGTAATCAGAGCAACCAGTTTGATTTTCTTCAGTGTTCATCAACTAATTGAAACTGTATGGGGTAGACATCAAATGAAAGTTTGAAAGTAAGACGATGATAACAAGTACTTGTTTACTACCAAATTTCTTTCATTGAACAAGAACATCATTACAACATCCGTTAGACTATCTTCACAATTTGGAGCTAGTTTTTCCCATCTCATCAAGTGTACAGTGAATATAACAACCCTAATTTTGTTTAGAATACCTGGTAAACACGAAGAAGATTTCACTGAAACAGCTTTGCTCAAGGATAAGACAGAATCTTCTCATAGAAAAGCATCCTGAACACCTAAAATGCATAATGCTTTTTACCATTTCACTTCTATGCTGTTACAATACATTTTATTCCTGTCAAAATGGAACGGTGAAGTTTTTAATCCAGGAAACAAAACAAAGTTCATTAGTGTTCAGATACTTCCGACTTTAATAAGGTAGATGTATATCATTACCAGCATGTTCCGGAAGACTTCATTAGAACTTGACAAATATCCTTTTAAAACTGTAATACATAGGAGAAATGTAAAACAGAAAGAAAGTAGAACAGCTGTCAAAGCATATTTCCTTCAGTAAAAGTTTAACAGTGATTGAAAGTGTTCTAAGCATTCTATGTAAGAATATCAAAGAGTGAAAAACAAAGTTAATGGTAGAAGAAAAAGAGGACAGTCAAGTGTACAGTAACGAGTGATTTTGTTGAGAATGATCCCATAGAAAAACTCTTTTTTCAGCTATCTCAATGTTTTCTAGCATGTTGATTTGCAGGTTTTATGCTTAAAGCTAGATAGATCTCAGATAGCCAAATCTGAGATTCTCTGAATATTTGTAAATATGTGTACAAGTGCGTGCAAGAGAGGAAGTCAGTGGGTGAGTGAATGTATACTTATGAATCAACAAGTTATGTTTGGATTATAAAGAATATTTTTGCTAATAAGAAAGAAAAGTATAGTAAGATTTGGCGAACTGACTAGATCACAAACTGAACGTAAATCATCCGATATTGAAACATTGAAAAAATGTCAGTTTTATGAATAATAAATAATACTTTATTTTCTCTTCAGAAACACGTAATCTAAAAGAATAAAAGAAAAGTTCTAAAGGCGAATTGAGAAGTAAGTGAGTCCTAGAAAACTCAGTTGACAATTTAATAGCCATGAGTTTTACGCACAAGATTTGTATATTTGCGTATTAGCGTGTACGTGTGTGTGTATGTATGTGTGAGAGAGTGTGTGCCATGAACTGCCTGACTTTCTTTGATGACAAGGGAAAGAAAATATATTTTTTCAAAATAATAAAGGAAACAGTTTAGCAGTACTGGAAATAATCACGCAGGAGAAATTGACGGAGATTCACTGGTTTTAGACAAAACTAATGGTAAATTCAGGCGACGTGCACTGCATTAAAAATTAGGAAATGAATTTTTTTTCGCAAGTACATGAAGGTGATATCGAAATGACTCCGTAAGACTGAATGATTACTGGCAATAGGGAATACTGTCAGGCTTGTCTAGTCTCATTGCAATTTCAAGTAATGGAATCTGAATGCAGTTAAGCATTGAAGCTGTAAAACTGTTTAGTTGTTTCACCATGACTTACTCAGTGATAGAATGACATTATACTGATATCACTGCCATTCATAGGTGAGATTTTATTTAGAACATAGGAGGTATGCTATTTTATTCTCAAATGTTAGATAAGAAGCCTTGATCATGTTGGATTTACTTGGATTTATTATTATTCCCTTGTGTTCCGACCGAAACACAGGGGTTCAGCAACACATTTTCACTTCACTCTGTTTTCTGCAGTCCTGTTTAGCTAGTTCCATGACTGTCCATAAGGCATCATCTCCTAACACAACCTTCTCTACCTCACTCTTGGACGCCAAACTCATGGTTTCCCATTTGGGTTCCTCTTGTGCGCCTGTTGAATGATGTTACTCAATGGTCTCCTCACGCGTGCCCAGTCCACCTCCATTTCCTTCGACATATTTACCAGGCAATAAGTCCTTGATTGGTTCTCCACAGGAGCTCCTTGTTGATAATCCCTTCTCACTGGCCATTTGATCTTGAGTATGAGGCAACTGATGATGAAAATCTGCTGTCAGTTTGAAATGCTTTAGTATGGTCACCAATCAACCAGCACACTGACTACACTATTGTCTCACGAACACCTACAGTGTTACTTATTTGAAGTTATCGTGAAGTAGCACTATATGTAATGTCAGTATGTTTCACGACAATTTTTACTGTTTCATTTCGCTTATTACATTGAAACACTGGTAGTTCTAAAAATAACTTTTTTCTTGTTTCTTTTTAAAAGTCTGATAATCATGAATTAATAACTAATATATCCACTTTGAATTTTTCTCAAGTCTAAAAATGGCAATTTCTCCAATTAAAGACTTTAACAGGTATTATTTAATCGATTTCTTTAGATACCTTTCAATTTGATGTGAAATAGTTAAAGGTTGTTAATAGAAAGTCATGAGCCCAGATTTTCGATTCTTGATATTCACCAGTATAGTTTATACATAGTCTGAAAGGAATTTATTTCCTCCCATATATTCCAGTTCACATTTTTCAACCCTCACACCAAAGAAAATACCACTGAGACACTAAGATTACTACGAATTTCATGTAAAATGAATAACCATTATAAAGAGATCAGCAGAAATTTAATTCACCTAATGAGTTTATCAATGTAAAAGACTCGACATGACAATCATGTTCATAGATTGACACACTGAAAAGCTTAAGACCCTATTTCTTGAGCCTCTTAATAAATGTGTACAACAAATAAAAATCAGAAAACAAAATACCAGATAAAGACTAATCTGCTAACTTGTCTACCACTAAATGATGAAAAAATAGTTGGCGCTAAAGACTAGACAAAATGACATTAACTACTCTTTAATGACTGTTTAGAGTGCATAAATCCTTATTTAGCCAGTTGCATAATCAGTCCATGAGGTTGTTCGTCATATCATATCATCATATCATGATTATATATGCAAAGGTGCTTGTAACTATGTGGTCTGAAGGTTGATTATAGTCAGTCAACACTTAGATGGTTCATTCTATAATCTAAAATAAACCTTTTCGCATCTGTGTGTATGGTCGTTTTCTATACCTATAAAGGGAGTTTCCTATCACTATTCCGAAGAAAGTTTATTCAAATTAAATAGCCACTTCTGTACCGAAGATAGAAGAATACTAATACTTTATCAGCATAAATGTTTGTGATTCCATTCATTACTGTTTGACTATGTACAGTTTGTTAAAATCTAAGCAGTAATAATGTTTACAGGAAAACTGTGATCGTTAGGCAGGACTCTTCGGAAACTTCTCTTGTACTCGTGTGATGTAGACAAGGAAGGGGAAGCAGAAAATCACTGATAATCATCCAATTGATAATATTCATTTCTTTCTATGTCTAACTACTTTGAAGTTGCAGATGTTGCAAAAGGAAAGCACCCGGTTTACACCTTAAGAAGCACCAGCTTCACCTTTCCATAGGAAGGCTTTCAAATAAATTTGCACATTCATCTGGCAGTGTTATCTAAAAGGGCTACAGTCATAGTACATGAGGTATTTTTGGTAAAGAAGCCTGTGCTAAGACTGTTATGTTCATTTCTCCTTGAATAAATGAATCATATTTGATAGTCTCATATAGAACAGAACACAATACTGAAACTGACTATCGTATGCCTGAAAAACCAGAAACACCCACTAAACATAATTTTTAGTATCACTTTGTTTTAATTTCACTGAATGACTCAAGAATTAACCAACTTAGCATTTGATGTTTGTTAGAGTTTTGTGTTTAATTCACAACTCTCTTGAATTCTTATTTCAAAAAGTTTGAACTGTATCGAAAATTGTATCACTTTTTACTGAGATTCAACAACAAAGCATATTTCAAGTTAGATATTTTTACAATCATACCCAGAGTCGTATAATGTTTAATAGCACGAATCATGTTCAAGCTGTAGGAACTACCAAAATCACTAACACAATAAAAAAAGCAAACAAATCGGATAAATATTTCGTTTTGACTTCATGCGGGTAAAGACACTTACCGTAGGTTGGCAATTTTATCTCTTAATTGACGCAGACGTCGGAAGAACTCTTGATTGGGTAAAACATTCAAAGCTTGAGCTGATGATTTGGCGGTGCTGGCAATCTGTGTTGCAATCATGTTTATTTCCGTCTGTAATGTCTATAAAAATACAATTGAAGAGCAACAAAAAGGAAACTATGGTAAAGTCTTGGCTGTTGGAAAACGTATTTTCGGCATTGTAACCAAGGTTACTATCTGTGTACACACATCCTATTTTAGAATGGTAATGACTTCTTTTGAAGGAGATTTTCCAGGCTTCTATGGAATCAACTAAGTCATATTTGGTGACTGACGCTAAAAATGACAACAGATGGTTCTGATATCACAAGAATTTATGGTGACATTATTCATTATTCAGATTGCTAACGTTTACCCAATGAATTTTGTTACGTGTTATGTAGAATGTCCAAATCGCGTTCTACCATCTCAGGAAAAATCAAATTACCCAAGACAGTTTGATAGGAAACTTAGTTGGTTTGATTTATTGAAGAAAGCAAGGTTCACTTTTTAACACAAAGATGAACATCCTACTGTATCTGTCAACTTACGCTTGTGTGTGTGGGTGGGTATGGATGAAAATACTTGGATAGCAGTAGTTGCAACAAGTAGTTGAGGGACACGTGCTTACGCAAATTCAGACACAAATGCCGTACAAAAATCTCATGAGTTTACACAAATTGTTTAGAAGAAAAATAGTACAAGATGGCAGTATTGTGTGTTCGCTACACTTTTGCGTAACAAATACCGTGGTTGGCATTTCTTTTTAGTTGTTGTCATTACCAATTCGGTTCTCATGGCAGTAGGATTCATGCTTGGTTAGTTCGTTTTTTCCATCTCTAATTACCTTTCCCACTCTTTAACTTCCTACTGGCCTTTTGGATTTTCACTATAAGCAATTTGATAAATTCAGTTTAGGATTAAACTATCTGAAGTGCATATAGCACTTATGCATTAAGTGTTGTGGATACGTTTTGTCTTTTTTGTTATCTCTATCTCAAAGAAAAGTCAGTAATAACTAAATTGGAAGGACGAAAAGAAGAGTTTCTATCCAGTTTAGATATAATAGAGAAGATTTGTAGCTCAGGTGGATGATTTTGGTGTGGTTGTGTTCTCTGAGCTGGATGGTTTGGTTGCAAAGCATTCATTGCTCTACTGAGCAACATCTTCAGCGCATACTTCGATGTGACTTCACATCGAAGTATGCGCTGAAGATGTTGCTCAGTAGAGCAATGAATGCTTTGCAACCAAACCATCCAGCTCAGAGAACACAACCACACCAAATTCTATCCAGTTTTCTGAACATAATCCAAGAAACCTGTGCCTGAAAGGAAGCAAATATTTTCAGAGTGTAATTACCAGGCATATTGTCGATACCGGATATCTCGTAGAGATTTCCAAGTCCTTCAAAACATTAAATAGACAAAAGACAGCAAATTTACCACGATTTGCCGAAGCGATCCCAATCAAACGATTCAAACCAGACTTATGCATACAGAAAGTGATTAACCACTTAATCCCTTGGCAACTGAATTTTGATTATGCTATTGATTACGTTACTTAGTCATCTAATTCAGTGACCTTAACTCACTGAACAAATCTTAATCTTATAAACTGTAACCTCTTTTGTTTTTTGAGTTGCTATGTGAAGCTACAAGGTAACACTGTTTTTTTTTGTTTTCTGTTTTACCCCTCCTCCCTCTTTTCCACTTTGAAAGTGTATAAACTGATGATGCAAACTCAAACTAAGAAAATTGTAATGCTAACATTTTTTGGATGCGTCATTTTTATGGTATTTCTTCTCTACTACCACTTAAACTATATAACCATTGTAATTTGAGGTAGTCTGCAGCTGATGAAAACCTGTGAAATAGAATGATATCTTTTTATCCTGCAAATTTCGTCTTCCTTTCTTTATCGAAATTTATTAAGGGAATCAAATGTATGAAACTAAATTTCCCTTCAAAGAATCATTATTCAAAAGTGTACTTCTCTTCTCTCACTCTCTGTGCTCCAGGTGCAACAAATTCCTTCAAGCTTGGAAATATAAGTACCGGTGGCGTTGTTGTCGTTCTGTTTACCCATCCAACCATCCTACTTTCCCACTCATACTACTGGTTAGTAAACTAGGCAAAGTCTCAGAGTGCATCGTCCGGGAACCGAACCGCTTGGCTGACAAGAATTTCACCACTGAACCACAGATATCATGTGCACAGTGACAGGAATTAAATGAGTCTGATAAACCAAAATAACGTCTGCAAGTACATTGTTTCCAGAATTGTAGCCAGACTGTGCAATATGTGGGGAAAGAAAAGCCAACAGTAAGAGTACTGAATAATTAAAAAATATACAAATAAGATTCGGGACAAAAAAATGAATGTATACAAGTAGTCAGCGGGGGAAAAATAATTAACGAAAATAATGATGACATTAATACCTGTAGTGATAATAGCAAGTTTACTGATGAAAATCACTCTAAGGCAGTGGATAGAAGGTCACAACTATGGATAAAGACTGGAAGTCGTGCTTGCGTACCCATCTAGAGTGTTACATATACCATGATCACAGGTCTACTCTACTGCTACTGCTATGTAATCACTGTGTACTGAGAGATCTCAGGACATTTTTGGATGAATTTACTCTGACTAATAAGCTACTTATATATTTATATACTTGTTACAACTATAATTTTGAATGGGTTGCTCGTGGTATTGATTCGTCACGATGAATTGTTGTTTCCTGAATACTACTTCGGTAATTAACATGATGAGTAAAAACAAGAGAGCTCTGGACCGATGCTTCATCTTAGCTTGAAACTCTTCAGTAGCGCAAATCCATGATTCTCTAAATGATATGGGCAAATGATGAAGTCTAAATTGAAAGTAATTTAAATCCCTACAAAAACGATAATTGGAATATCTGTCTTCGGCTCATTTGGGGGACAGATGTCCTGAAGTTGCAATTAGTCCATCATATCAGAGTGGAGCGGATGCCCATCGATAATGTTTGTCAGCGGTATCTCTATATCGCGAATTGCCAGAAGTTAGAATTCACAGCTGAATGGTTGATAATCTGGCGTAGCAAGTCATAAGTCCTTGGTTTGACTCGAGGTTGGGTTGTGGATGTGCGATTCTGAAGAGTCCCGGATTAGAACGAAGTAGCTGTCCTGTGTTTTTCAGTTTTCAGTGATTATGTGATACCAGGACATAACATATGAGTCACTTTTCCCCGACGTGACTTTTCAGCCAGAAAACTGACCCTAACGTAGACTGAACGTCAAGACAGTGGATTTTAATTAGCACCTGCTAACCAATCAAAACATAGTTCTTTTATCTATAAACTTTATTGTAGCCGTCTTCATAATATGCATAGAATTTTTCTAATGATTTTCTCCTCTCCTTGTAACTTTCACTTGATATCATTATTGGATTATGATCACTGCTATAGCCGATTCAATCAACTTATTTGTATCTTAGTAGTTTTCCGCAGTTCATTCATCTATTCTTCTTAGTCACTATTATACAAATTATTGCTTATGTAATAACCTGGCGTTAGCCTCTACAAATTAAGTGATCCTGAATTCTGTATTTATTTTCACCTCCAGCTATGCATCAATATGTATATTCTTTTGTGTGTCTTGACTAACAGTCTGTTATCATCTTCTGTCTTGATTTTTGTTGACACCCCTCCTGCACCTTAATACTTATGATTCTTATTGACTAGCGAACAAATTACTAGCATAATTTTGGTGTAAAACTATATTACTGTAGAGCCATTGATGAAGAACTAATTGAAAAGGAATACAATTACTCCTTAATTAGTTGTTTTTCTAAATATGCGGAAATAGGAATTTGTAAATTATTGATTACTGTAAAATAACTATATGAATGGTTGTAATTTCTAGTTTTATTGCTTTTTGCATGGAGAAATAAATCTTTTGCCTTCCCAGTCAGCCTTCTGTTTCTTCGGCATATGGGAATAGTAACAAAACGACCAGTTGTGTAGTGATAATGCAATGAATTAACAGCTATAACGAGCACACGAATTCCAGTACCATAGTCACCGTTACAATATGTCCTCTAAATGATATTGTTTCGCATTGAAATCCACATCGAAACTGTTATTTAAGTGCTAATTCAATGTGAAGTTAAAATTTTTTTCATAATTACTTGATATACCTTCCCTTCTATGCTGAAAAGAATGTAATGTACCTGTTATTTAGTTTAATCATACGCCAATACTTTCATTTATTCGTCAGTGGCTTAGTGGTAGAACACTGACTACTCATGTAAGTGGTCCGGGATTCGATCCCAGGCCAACACACTCCATTTTTACCTGGCTAAGCTGGTATTAAGCCTGGTAAAGAAGGAGGGTTGAGCATAAGGCTAGCAATCCCATCTCGTAAATACAAACACCACTGGTACTGAAACTTCTAAGCTCTCGCTTGAGGCAGTGTTTTCCACTGGGAACGAAAAATGAATAAAATAAAAATAAATACTTTCATTTATTCTCTCTTCCGTTACATAAAGCATTCGGATATCTAAACCCAAGATGATTTTTTTCATTTTATACATGGTTATACATCATTTGTATTAGATCATGTTCAATTTAAAATTGATCATTGAATTGAAACTCCAAATTATTGTTTGTCACTACACACCTTACAACATGGAGTTTGTTTGTCTGTTACCCGCCCACAAACAGGAAGACTAAGGGTCACTAAAAGGCTTACAGAATGTCGAATGCATTTCGTCTAAGCATTTTCGACAGAAATTTAAATTTCTGCGAAACTGACTGTCTATCAAGTAAATGAAGAAAACAAACGCAATAAATATATACGTTTTCTATATACTATATTCAAAAGTCAACTGCATTGCTGAAAATCAGCAAAACATTTCCGGTTTTTGTTTGCTTGTCAATACCTATGTGACTTATGTTTTGTTTTTATTAATTGAGTATGATTAACTACTCAGTTATGACTCGATTTTGATTTGATTTGCTTTCATCTTGTCTTTGAAAAAGATTAAAATTTTCTGATAATGACAATAATAATATACATACATTCATACGTATATGAAAACGCTTTTTCTTCTCAAGAAATTTCCTTATCCTCACTTTGTTGTTGCTAAGGCAACTGGTCTGTAAGAAAGTAACCAAATTTATCCAGTAAATGGTGTGTGTGTGTATGTGTGTAAGTGAAATTTAGATAAATAGGGAAGTGTACTGCTCACTGCGTAAGTGATTTACTCAAATCAGGCCATGGTTGAAAGATTTATCACTGTCTATCATCATTATCAAATAGTTATTAATTAATATTAATTAATAAATGTAACAAGGAATAATTATTTCAATGTCAACCTACAGTATAGATAAGTTGATTTTCAATAAAGTACATACTAACTACTTTAAACCACGTGAAAATACATAGACATACAAGAATGTAATGTATCTGTTATTTAGCTTAATCATACGCCAATACTTTCATTTATTCGTCTGTGGCTTAGTGGTAGAACACTGACTACTCATGTAAGTGGTCCGGGATTCGATCCCCGGCCAACACACTCCTTTTTTAACTGGCTAAGGTGGTATTAAGCCTGGTAAAGAAGGAAGGTTGAGCATAAGGCTAGCAATCCCGTCTCGTAAATACAAACACCACTGGTACTGATGGTTATTGTCTATGACACTACTTATGTTTATTTGATGCGTTGACTAAATTTCAGTTTAAATTAAGTAGCAAAGTAGCATTTATCTTTCTCCCTATATTACAATAATCCATCTGTTTATTTATTGCAAAACAAGTATCAGAAAAATAAGACAGAGATTCATCACTCCGAAATTAATGTGGAGATACACAGTGCTCAACACAACGAACAAGAACCGAATTTTCATCACTAATGTCAAGTCAGTGCTTCTATATCCTTCCCAAATTTAGTGCGTCACTAAAATCATTTCCAAAAGACTTCCTAGAAGAATTTCATCAACACCTACTTTCACCGAACACTAAAGATCAGATATCCGCCTGGTTGGAAAGTATGAGCAAAGATGAACTCTGGCAGTGCAATGAACCAGTTATGAAAATATTTCCCAATTATACGCAGAAGGAAATGGTGATAGACTTGGTATACGCTAAGGTAACCTTCAAATGACACTGTAAGCCAGAACTTCGAATGGAAATCAAATGGGAGGCGACTAGTTGAGATTTCAAAGGTGACATGGAGAAGATCACGGGAAAAGGAAATGAAAGCCTATGAGAAGTAACGTAGCCACTTGAAAGTGACCACAAAAAATCAAGCACCATTGAGATATGCCAGTAACACCACTATGCCCCACTCGGAATGCTACGAATAAATAGTAGTAATAATAGGATCTGTTGTATATTTCATCAAAAACAAAGTGCACTGTTAGAATTTTTGTGACGATTGTGTTTTATTTTGTTTTCAACTTTCAGTGCTTCCCTTTATCATGTTAACTGTCTTTTCAGTGTCGCTGAATGACAGTCCTCACTATGGACACATAAATTTCATTTCATAAAGTCACTATACTGCAAGTTCGAATTAATAGGGCTCTAAGTCCAATGAGAAATAGTGTTAATTATCACCGAACATATCAAGATGTTAATTAACTTATTTCTTCTAATTATCAGTCCTAGAGGATCCAGCTAAATGCATCTGCTCATTGTATTATGACTCACCCTGTAAATGGCACCAAGTTTCCTAAAGATTTTTGATACATGTTTCATGTGAATGTCAGCAAGCACGAAATCTAGATCCTGTCAGCTTCATAAATCCATCGAACCATCTAATCTTGCCTACTAAAATGGTCGTCATTGTGGTATTTACAAAAACCTAACACATATTTGTAAGTATAGTAATACATAACATAAAAAATTATAAAAACGTTACCAAAATAGCCTAAAAGCAAAGAGTATACTTAAGGATATGAAATTAAACTTATTTGTTACATAAGTCAATTCAAGAAAAAAATCCCTACTTATCTAACTTTTTGAGAAAAATCCAGTAACCATCGTGGTACAGTCTAAAGCTCGCTGACCAACTGTACGAATGATTAATGCGTCAAGTGTCAGTTACAAAAGACTTCGAGCGCACAGTTCGCTCTTATTTGAATGATCAAGAAGGTGATGTTACCTCAGAGATTTAAACCAACTATACACTATGTCAATATATAGTAATGTGTAGCAATAAGCATAAACAAAGGTCAAGGTAAAACTTCACTAGTTATTAGTTACATACTGATCAAGTTGTGAACAATTTATACAATGCCAGGAATTTAAGAGATAAGAAAAGGACATTAATGCTTACCTGTGATTCAGCAACAAGATGAGCTTTTTTCTCATTCAACAACTGAATATCCATTTGTGAACCATTACGATTTAGTTCAGCTTCAAGTTTAGAGATTTGATTGAATTTATTTTCAATAACCTCTAATTGTTCATTCAATGTAGGCTTTCTTATACCATCTGAACTCGACGTTCTACGATCCTTCAGTTTACTTTGCTGTTCTTTGAAATGATCATATACTGGATTTGGTTTTTCTTCAAGATATTGAAGTTTTGTCTCTTTTATCCTAAGTTTAGAATGCATGAATAAGAATGAACATGTAGGCTGTAACATTAATTGATTCAACACTACAAAAGTAAATAAAGTGAAAAGAAAATTCTCTGAACATGTTAGTTTCATCAGTGAATTTTGATTAATTAATTGCAAGACTATGTTTCACACAGTGTACCAACAGTTTCATCTGCTTTCTTTTAGATATTTCAATGTGAAAAAGCAGACAGTTGGGGAAAATATTTATAGTAATAAAATATAATAGTTATGAACGAATTAAATAAAATCACAGTATAAACTGGTCTGATCTTATTTCACAGCTTCTAATCGCCTACAAATCACTTAAAACCATCACAGTTATCAAAGAAGAGGAAAGTAGGGTACTTCAAAGTGATTTTACTTCATGCTGAGAGTTCGATCTGTTTGGCTTTTTCTAAAATTTATCCAGGGTACTAGCACGTCTATAAATGAAATACCTTTATCTCAATTTGGTTATCAAAACGCAAAACATAATAGTTATGCTAAAGGAAACCTATTTCCAAATGAATAATTGAAAAAGTTATATTCAAGGTTGATCACGAGAACGATTGGGAACCAGAAAGTAGCTGACAACTGTTTTGTCCTCGTTTGGGGCTCTTTTACAGTATGCACCCATGATGCCAACAGGGATCGAACCCAGGACCTTCAAGCTACAAGACCAGGGAGTATACTATTGCACCACTAAGACGGAATTCGGTTTGTCGTCAACTTCACATATGTGAGCTCGGCTTGTAACCTAGAGGTCCGAGATTTTGTCCCTGATGGGTTCATGGGTGCACACTGTGAAGAGTACCAAACAAGGACGAAACATATGTCTAGTGCTCCATGGTTTTCGATGGTTTTTTCATTGAAGTCGTTTCGTGATCATTCTTGAAATCAATAGAATTCCTGCAAACCAACACCGAATAACATTGAAAGAAGTCTGAAGGTTAATCGTGTGTATAATATTTACACATAATTATCTTTTAATAGGCAGGGATGAATAAATACTTTTCAACTGCACTTATCTGCCATCTTAGCAATTAGCCACTGCTGAATTATGTTGATAGGTATATCAAACCACATATCCACTGCATATTTCAGACTAGTCAGTTAGCATTTACGCTGAGGTGGTGAATACATTAGTGAGAAAAAGAAAAGCTACTTTTCAAATTAGTTGATCAGAGGTGGTGATCCAATGATTACCAATTCAGTCACTATCCTTGGTTGGGATTTCTTTCATCTCCAAATGACTTTTTTGTGTGCGTAGATCTATTCATTAATTACAGCTATTTTATTCAGAAAGCCTGACGCACTTTCCACTTATAGCCTTAATATTCAGTTTATCGGTATACAGGATGTTAGGAATAAACTGATCCTCTAGAATACTCATTTTTGCTGTCTTCAGATGCATTTTTATGTGATAGATTTACTAAGATAATTTAGCCTGTAAGAAAGAAAATTGCAAAACGCAAGCCAAGTAAACTGATGTTTGCAAAGACAAACTAACTGAGTGTTAGATAGTAAATGAATAGTTTTGACCGAGTAAAAAAGCAGCACTCATTAGGTGAAGTGAATTTCCATTAACAGTCAGGTAGATCATGCAGGAAATACTAGCACATTGACAGTGGAGTCTTATAACCTCATAACAAAAAAGGATAAGGAGTTCTAAAATAGTGGACGCATATAAGTAATAAAATGTGGGTATCATAGTCTGGAAACTAATCAACTGAAAACCTCAGACTTAAGTAACTTGACTTCTGACAAACATCAATTAGACGTATCTTCGTTATTCAAGTATCCTGAATATCTAAACCAATTTTCAAAGGCTTTACTATTTTGATATAAGTACAAAAATTTGAGCACTGTGGTAGAGTGTAACTCCATTATGGATAAGATTTTATTTTAATATTACTGTATAACACTGTGTGATTTATCAAAATATAATCTCATCCATAATGGAGTTTTACTATTTGTTTAATCACTTCTCAGATGAATCTGACTGGCACTGAGGTATGTGTACGAATTGGACATTGAATACTAATCGATACAGGCTTCAGTTTTAAAATCTTAATGATAGTATACCTAACAACTTTTCAACATATTCCTGAATTTAAGTGATAAGACACACAGGATTCTACACTGAAATATAGTCAAAAATGTTTGTATTTCAGCATAATGATTTTCAACAGATCTTTTGCCATCTACGCAATAATTACTAGCGTTAGACTAAAGTAAAATAGTACATTACAAAACAAAAACCGATGTCTAGTTAAATGATATGTTATACTTAAAGAGTTGCAATGATAATTTTGATAATGTCACTGTATGAAAATGAAAACACCCAAGTAGGTAGTGACGAAAATTTTGGCTTAGTGAAAGAATTCATATGGGCATCTTACACATTCCTATCAACTTGCTAACAAGTCTTGAAAATAGACATGGCTGAATCGTGTTCACGATAATGAAATTTCTAGTAAACGGTCACAGTTTAGCATGAAAATGTTGAATACTTTCGACTTTTCGATTAATATATGCTGACAGTTATTAAGAGAAATTACACGGATGGCAAAATAAAATTTCTGCCATACACTACCTTAGAGAAATCAAGCAAAAGGTTGACTGATAAAACTCAGTCAGCACGAATAGCGCATGGCATTCACTGCTACCCTGGTGACCAATTCAGTGTATCAAGTGTACATTTCAGCTGTATATTCTATACTACTGAATAGTATACAACAATCATAAGATAAAACATTCTATATTGCTACCATATTTTATAATTTAACTATACAAAAGAAATTGATGCGTAAAATTGACAAGCATATTCAGCCACTCAAAATACGGTAAATATTGAAAAAAATAAAATTCAAACTTTCGAAGAAACGTGAATTAGATACATTTATTTTTATTTTGAACAACCAGACAGACACCTGCAAGAACACCCATGTCCAAATTTTAGTTCACCTATAAAGTGATATATATATATTTGTATAGTGTAAATTATATCGAATAGCATCAACCGACAAACATTTGCCTAACATCGATAAGCTTAATGATTGAGTTATTGCATTATAGTTAGTAGAAAGGCAATGTAAATACCATCTCAGTTGCATATTGTTATATTCTATCAAAGTGTAGAGAATATCACTCGAAAGAGGAACAAAAATATGAATAGTGAAATTAGAGAAGGAAAGGAGAATAGTAGGAGAAAGTGGAGTTGTCAGGAAAACGTTTATGCAAAAAAGAAAAATTAAAATTTGTGATGATGGTATGTGTTTTTGCTTGTTAAAAGCACTTTTCCGTCCAGCTACCTGTGGTTAGACTGAAAACTGCATTAATTCAATTAGAACATCAACATTGCCTTGTGAAGGGAAAACGCTTACTGCTCAGTTATAAATTAACATTTACCATATTTTTTCATTTCCGTTTATTAAGATACCGGATTTCTGAGATTTTGTGAGTCAGATATTGCGTGAAGACACCGCTACTCAGACCTCAGCTGGGCAGATTGACACTGTCAGTTTAAAGCCTCAGTAACAACAGGTGCTTGTTATATATATATATAACATTGTTGTTGTATTCACGTTGAATTGTACAGTCTGATATGAGACAATACGTGTTTGAATAAAGCAAGAACAAAAGTGGTTTGTGCAGAATAATATGGTACCATCACTTATTTCGTAGGCTTCTCATCAGCTGCTTGCAGCCTAAATAAATTATGAGGTTTGCGTACAGAAAAGTTTTAACATAATTGCAAATTTTTTTACATGTTGCCAGTTGACAAAAAGTTCCACAGTAAGTGAACAGTGCTCAGAAAATTTCGCTTATATAGTTTTTACACAGGCAGTTCAAGTTTAAACAAAATAGATGTATGCATACAATGGTAAAAGAGTTACGTAATAAAGACGAAATATGAGTTAGATACAGAGTGACTAATAAATTAGGTAACAATGTACTGAGTTCAACTCAAATCATAGAAACAAGAGACAAGCAAAATTACAGAATATAAAAGGGGGTGAGGTTAAAGACAAAGATTACGTAATCAGATGAGGGAACCAACTTAGCTGATTTGAGTTGAACTCAGTACATTGTTACCTAATTTATTAGTCACTCTGTATCTAACTCATATTTCGTCTTTATTACGTAACTCTTTTACCATTGTATGCATACATCTATTTTGTTTAAACTTGAACTGCCTGTGTAAAAACTATATAAGCGAAATTTTCTGAGCACTGTTCACTTACTGTGGAACTTTTTGTCAACTGGCAACATGTAAAAAAATTTGCAATTATGTTAAAACTTTTCTGTACGCAAACCTCATAATTTATTTAGGCTGCAAGCAGCTGATGAGAAGCCTACGAAATAAGTGATGGTACCATATTATTCTGCACAAACCACTTTTGTTCTTGCTTTATTCAAATTCATCAAGGGGAATAAATGCATGAAATACGTGTTTGACTTACGAGACTTTCTTAGTCAAAGTGTAGTTGGAATCCTATCTTACATATTGGAAAAAAGTGGTACAAACTTCTAACTAGTATGATTAAGATATAACTAAAGAGAATTAGATAACATTCTACTTTACATCATTAAAAAAAGGGGAATCCAGCAGTCTATGGAAATGCAGAACTAACTGGCATAATGAATAAGTTGATCAAATGATTATTTTTTCCTATCAACATGCCATGACTTAACATTTGCAATAATAATAATAATACTAACAAGAATAGTAATAACAGATATTACTGTCTTCAGCATCATTGGTTTGAGATATCAGGGTAATTTATTCTATACACTAAAGATCGATTCGAAACCAATTGGTATGCAGTCTCGATATATGCATATATACATTACGTAAGACCATATGTATATATATGCATAATTTCACTGTAGGAAATCCATAATATTAGGCTATTTATCAAAAAGTTGTCATCAGTGAATAATTAATCTCATAATATTCTAGTCATTCACCCATTAGCTTTCACATTTACATATTTATTAGTGTAGTAGGCTTGCACGCATAAACTATGTATATATGCAAGCGCGATAAGTAATAACACTGTGAAAGACGGAAGAGAGTGAGAAAGGAAGTCAACTCTCTAGATCAGTGTCTATCTTACTTATATTTCTTGAAGTATATACATAGATACATTCGTGTTGACAACAAGAAGAGAAAGAAGAACTACGTCTTAGCGGAATCGTATAACAAAATATATTTTGTATCAACAAAAGCGTCGTCAAGAGAAAAAAATATGTTTGACATATATATATGTCAAAAGAGAAGAAAGTCAAACACAAAAATATTTGTTATCTCTTTAACTTAAAAGCCACTGAACAAACATTAGCTTTTCTGAAAGAAGGCGTAACAAACTCTCTTCTTTTAATAGTTTTGATGCAAACAGGCGAATTCGGCATTGACGACGTTTAATGCTCTAAATTTACGTATATACATTTATATATAAACGGTTGTTCCTTTTTTCCTTCAGAACTGGACACTGTCATTTCTTATGGGTCATTTAAAATCAACTTGTTTAATGATCACAAATATTTAGAAGTTGAAATTCACAGGCAGTATCAACTTACTGTTTATTAGGGTATAAATAAAATAGGGTAATAAAAATAGTTACTCTTTGTTACAAAAACGAGAGCTCTTCAATAAAAAATAACATGCTGTAATTTGCTAGAAGACAGAAGAAGTTGGACAGAAGATTCAGAAAGTTGAAAAGGCGACTGGTTGATTTATTGCTCGATTCATGCTAGCAATGTATATGGAATTTTTTCAAAATGAAATCCTCATAGAGGGCATGCAATATTAGAGTTGATTCACACAGACAGTATTCTGACGCAGACTGAATAACTTCGTTTTCATTTTGCATTCCTTCAGATGGTGTAGACCCATAAAGGCGAAGTTAAAGTATCATAGCCAAAACCAAAATCTTTAAAAAGGTGACCTTCAAGAACCAATCAGATGTAGGGAATGCTATGAAAGATCATTCCAAATCAAATCATGCCTGCCTTTTGGACTTGAAAAAGGTAGCTACAGCATTCAACTTATTCCCCGTGTACTTTTTCTTTAAGTCTATACTTTTAGGCAGGGTTATGCCTTTTTAGATTAAGGTGCAGGGTCTGGGGTTAAGGTCAAGATCAGGGGTAAAGTTAGGACTAGGAGTTAGGATTATGATTAGAGTTGGGAGTAGGTTAAAGGACAGTGTCAGAAATATCAATAGACCTCAAAGTGGCATGACCTGCAGTCACCTGCATGAATGCATCTATCGCTCATGGTATGATATTCCTGTAGATCATCTGTATAGTGACTTGGAAAAATTCTTACAACACATAAGCGACAACTATACAGTGTAATATCATTTTGGCAATATTTTTCGATGTATTTTTCAACGATTATGCGACTTTTCCGAACCTGATTTCTAATTGGTTGTTCAGGGTCACTGTGATGTTGGCTATCATAGTTTAACTTTGCCCACATGAATCGAAATACATGAAACTGAAACTGTCTTCTTAAGGATTAGGTCAAACATTTGCCTGTGCTAAAATGTATTTCAAATTAGTGTTCTTCCGGTGCCAACATTTCAGTAAGATTTTAGTCACTATCTTTATTAAAACTTGGAGATTGTAAAGTACACCAGCTTACAGAACACTTCAACAATAGCACATGAATCCATTGTAACAAACATTTTCTGTTCTTCCAAAACTCTAAGGTACATCCAATGACTAAATATCTACTATTTACCATTGGCTGAAATTATTATTTCAATCTTTCGTTCACTGATTTTATTGAAATGTTAAGTTCTGAGTGTGAAACCCAGTGGATGACAACCACTTACGGGGGATGCAGTCGCATTCAGCCGATGAGTTGCAAGTAGTACAGAACGCATGTTCTGAATTCCAACACTAGCTAACGACCATTATCACAATGCGATCAGGCGTATTTTCTTCCAGTGAATTTTCTAGATATGTGGTGGACGCATATTCAGAGTTATTTTAGCTTTAATTGAAGGATTACCATTTGTTTAACAAAATGAATGATAGTGTATCCTACTGATTGACTGATATGAGTGAGTAGTTGGATAACGCTCACGTCAACCACTAGTACCTGCTAGCCGGATCAAGGTCATCGAAAACAAATGACGGCCCTTTCGTTCGTCTGTGACTAAGACTATCAGCAGCGTACCTGCTTCTGAATTAGCTCAGATCTTCAAACCAGTTCCAGCCATCCAAATTCTGGTAGTAGGTTGGATCGAGTTCGCAATTTGCAAATTACACAGTTTAGATAACTTTGATGAGACTAGCAAACACCGTTGGTTAACGCGATTGGTATGCATTTATTCAAATCAATCAGTGATATATGCAGTCATGAATTTACGCTTGCCTTCTTGACTGCTATTTATTGTAACAAGCAGATCACATATAGTCATCTGAATAATTTCGGTTGCCAAGCAAACTACTGTGAAATTTCACCCAGAACGGTTTAATCTGAAAATTACCAATTTAAGTGAATATTTGCTGTTTGATGTGTAACAACATTATTACGGTCGCTGGAGCCCAACAACAACTAATACCAATCATTACACTTTTTTCAATTTTCAACCCTATTATTATTTGAATGAAAACACAGTCTCAGTCAACAATATACGAGTCTTAGATCTTATGAGCAGATTCCGACCTTTCGAGAGACTGATGTAAGACTTTTTTGGTGGCTCGCGTTGAATATCAATGCACTCTACCAATTATTAGGTCAAATATGTTTGAGACATTGGAATGCCTTTAAAAACAACAAGAGATTAGACATTTTTGAAAAAAATTTAATAGTTGTTTACACACAATAAGTTTTTTGTATTTTAGTAATTTTACTCGAAATAATAACAAAATTTTTTAAAAAACTTATCATTGTATGTGAACAACTGTTGAAGTATAAATATAATTAATTTGATCTCTATCATAGTGCACAGACTTTTCACAGACCCTGCTTGCCATCTATTCGTACAATTATAAGTTTGACATTTTCGACGTATTCAGACAAGAAATAGCTTAGATTTTTTCCGATGAAAGAAATGCAGATGAATGATGATGATGACACAATGGACAACCAGCATTCATTAAAACGATTTATAAATAAAAAAGAAAATTTAGAACAAGATACAAAATAAACAATATGCCATATACTACTGGTTGAAGTTTAAGTAGTTGAGAACCACTCTCACCGACAAGCAATCCTTCTAGGTGAGATCATATTTGAGACTAGGTGTATTCGGATTGATTCAGTTTAAAGATCTCAGTCACTTTAGTTCTTTCAATGCGTAAAGTTCTCACATAATACACTTGTAGTTGAATACTGAGCGGACAGTTAAAGCAAGGGAAGGATTAAAGAGAACCTTAATCCTCGAAAATATATAATGAGTTATCTTAGGATAACTAATTGAATGATCAATATTTATTGCATTCCAAAGATTTTAGATAAAAAATGCTGAAATACAGTTATTTTACATCACATTGTTTAAAAGGTTAGTCTGTAAACTGGCAACTCATTTTTCATAACCAGCTGTTGTCTTTCACACACACGTAATATAATATTCTTACAAATTAGTAGATCATGGAAGCAAAAATGTTGACTTACATTTTTTCCAACTCATTCCAGCGTTTAATAGACTTTTCCATATCTGCACGTATTCGACTAGTGTCTTCAGAGCGAAATTGTTTCATCAAAGCTTCACATTCATTTTGATAATTGCTAATTTTAGCACTTCTCTGGGGTAAACTATCGACTAACTCCTGATAGGGAAGAAGAAAGAATAGTCAATAGTTTAGAACAGTGACACTTGATTTTACAGAATTAACAATTATGTTTTAGATTTTGGTTAAAATAATCTTCGTTGTATTTATATGTACATAAATCTACTGATAACTGTCACTGGACAAATTTTTACTTGTTCATAGTGGGGGATATTTCAGGTGCGTCTCATTGGTTCAGGGGTAGAATGCTTGCCTGCCACACAGGAGATGCGGTCCCGATTCCCAGTCGACGTAATTCTGAACATCGCCTAGTTTACTAGCAGTTAGTAAACCCAGAAAAGAGGGGAGGTTACTAGGGAGGCTAGCAACCCCACTCCACGAAAGTGATATTATCACTAGTGAAAGCCCTCTTAAGGAAGACACTGCTCGACAATGGCTACCCACCTCGTTTTATAGACAAGCATATTAAGCCTAAGACTTACAAAGAACAACCCATTACAGTGCAGAAGAAGATGGTCTACATGAATGTACCCTTCAAAGGTGACCTTCTGGCTGACGCCTTGAAGAAGAGGATATCTACTGCTCTCAGAAGGACATTCTTCGCTGCCACACTACGACTGACATTTTCCTCCCGTCCATTGTCCTTCAACTACTCTAAAGATAAACTATCGCATTTGACCACTTCCATGTGTATCTACCAATTCGCCTGCTCTTGCGGAGCGAGGTATATAGGTCGTTCGATGCGAGTTTTATCTAAAAGAGTTCAAGAACACTATCCCACCTGGTTACGGAAAGGTAACAACGGAGCAATAAGGAGCGCCATTATTGAGCATATACTCAACACTGGTCATTTGATTTGCAAGGAGAAGTCGTTCAAAGTCATCTATAAAGTCAAAAGAAGCCTTCCAAAATCGACAAGCATTCGTATACTTTTCATTGCCGAAGCCTTAGCGATTTGGATAGAAAAGCCTGATTTATGCACACAGAAGAAACTTCTCCACCCTTCCTACTACCGTGGGTTTAATTTCAAGTTTATCTGTCATCAACATTTTGTTATCAAATTTTTTTTGCAATTTTCGTATAATAATTTTTAGTAACTAACCCATTCAATCTTTTCACCTATTATCTAGTTTATTTTCATAATTGTCTCCATACTCCTTCACTAACATCTAATCTTTCTAAACATGTCTATATTACGTAACCCTACTCACATCTTACCAATCTTCACCCCACTTAGTTACAACTTTGATTATTAATCACACATTTCAATTTCTTTATTATTTTGATGATGTAATCAACAACCCACACTAACTGTTATTTTGATTTTGACAAACCTAATGTACACACACACACACAAAATTAATTGTATATATTTGCGACTGTACAGCTAAGTGAATGAATTCGCCGAAAAGAGACTCTTCACTGAACTAATTTGTTCTTATTTCAATGTCTTAATGGGTATTTTTCGCGAATTGAAAGTTTTTAGTCGTATATTTCACTCGGAACTCAAGGAACGAAAATAGGTATATTTGAGGCTTACGAAGTAGCAGTAACCATTTCATATTGCTTTGAATTAACAACCCCATTTCAATGATTATCTGATCCATAATGTTACAAGTGCAGGCATACAACTCCACTAAAAGCTTTCAGTGTAGTTTTGAGGTTAATATTGTAATGGTAAAAGAAGACAACATGGTGTCCATCACCATTATTTGTTGACTTTTCTCAAAGATGCACGTATATTAACACTCATATTTCTACTTTTAAGAGATACCCTGAATGACAAGTGAAATCAACTAAAAATACTTATCTTGAAGAAGCTAACGAAAGAGATTATAATATTCCAACAAGTTGAATATTATACTTTCCCTAAACAGTTTTACTGAAGTACTGTGTTAGTAAATGATACTATGTCATGGAAAATCTTATCTGTTCAGGTATTTTACCCACTTTATTTATCATCTATTATACAACTCCACAGTTCACGGGTCAGTGGTTCAGTGGTGGGATGTTAACTAGCAAGGTGCGTGATCCGACTTCTGTTCTCATTCGACGCACTCACCTAATTTGCCAGCCGATACTAAACCTAAGGAAGAGAGAAGTGTGCGCGCAGGACTAGAAACATCACCATGTAAAAATATTTTCAAAGCTTGAAACCACAAGGAATAAAAAACGGTTCATGCGTTGTGGTGAATTATTTTTTCCCCAAATCTGCATTTCTAAATAACAGTTTTACTATCCTTTGCAAACAAAGGAGAGAAACTAAAGACACATTTTTAGTCTACTAGAAAAAATAAAAGCACGCTAAACGCTTTGTCTATGATATCAAGATTTAGAAAAAACAATCAGAAGATGTAAAAGAGAGCGTTATTCCCCCAAAGAACATAGAAACGGATAACAAAGTCGATTTCAGAAATGCCTTTAAACACATACACTTAAATTCGTTGAAGGCTTAGTCATCAAAAGCTTTAAACCTGTTATATGTGTTCAAAAATTATTTGTCATCACCCTAAACCTGACATGGTTATCCAATTTTGGAACCAAGATTTATTTCACTTTATAGTATTTTCATCCCCTCTTTTTTTCTTACCCTGTTTTCTTACCTCATTTTCCCACGTCTTACCCCAGATCATGACTTGTAAGCATTTTGACCTATTAGATTGGTAAAAATTGTAGTCATTTGTACTATGTCGCCTTGTATATGAACTGCATGACAAATACATGTGTGATCAGAATGCATGAAATGTGCTGCACAAATGCATTACACGTTTCAGATAAATTAAGTCTTCTTATTGTTTTTTTTTTTTAGTTTAATAAGGGAAACTAAAAGCTTTAGATTTCAGGATTATCTATAAGAAACTGTGATTATGCTGAAATTGTAGCGTTGTTTAGGAAATGTTTTATTAATACATCAACGTATGTAAAAGCACGTTTATTCTGTCTACATGTTAAACGAATTAATCCTCATTAGATTTCAACCCCTGGAAATTTTGGCGATTCACTCACTCATGTTTATGTGTGATAATAAAAACAACAACAACAACAACGACCTTGAAATGAATCGATCCATAAGCAAAGTGAACAAACAGTCTGTTGTGGAAAACAAAATTTATAAATAATCGCATACTTGTAAGTGTTTACGACAGGTTTCTGGACTCATCACAAGAACTCTGGAGGCTGATAAACTTTGTTCACTTTCTTGGTATTTTGAGGCATCAATACTTTGCAAATCTGCTTCTGCCTTACTAATTTCCCGTTCTACTTCACGTTCCAATTCCTTCAACGCCTGTGTACCGGTTAACATTTGATCTAATTGTTCTGATCTTTTAATCATTTGTTTTTCAATTGTATTCCATTGATTTTGTAATTGATCAACTGCAGAACAAAAAGTTGATTTTAGATTTTTTTTTTAAAACATAGCAGATTTTGAGGTTCAGTAGTAAATCTGAAACCTAGGTAAGTACAAAGTACACCATATTCATGCATACGTTTGTAAAAATATATTCATTAAGATGAAACTGTGAATGAATGAATTATTGAATGACACTTAACTATTCAACAACTTCTCATATATTTCTTTATAACATCCGGTAGTAGTACCAAACGTCTTAGATAATAGTTGATATGACTAAATGATAATCTGGGCAATGTCAATAAATACTTTGATAAAGTAATAAGAAGACGTAATTTGTCTGAATCGTGCAATGTATTTGCGCAACACATTTAGAACAATCTGATCACACACGCACTTGCTGCGCAAATACATTACACGATTCAGACAAATTACGTCTTCTTATTGCTTTATCTGAATTCATAAAGGGAACTAACTGTTTTAAATAAGTACTTATTTGATAATAAGTAGTAAAAAGAATCAGTTGCAGGAAATGTTTTATTTAAATGCACACCGTGAACCAAATACCCTTAAATGCGCCATTGCTTGAACTTTGATCATGATGTGTTTGAACCTTTTTGAAGGGGATATCGTTTATCATACTTACTAAAGAATAGAAGTGAATACATCTTTTTTTAGTGTAAAAACCCCTTAGGGATGTCACAGTTCTCAACACTGACAATTCTCGCAGAAATTCTGATAGGTGAGTGAAAAGTGAGATAAACTAAGTTTTTAACAACAAAATTTATCAAAACAGAAGCTGGGTCTCGTGAATGACATCAACATCTAGGGAAGAGAAAGATGTAAGTAAATCTTCTGAGTATGAATTCTAACAATTTTATTCAGATACGCTTATAATCCGTAATACTGGTTGCAACGACAAAGGTGATGTTGAATGACAAAAGAAATGGATTCAGCAAAGTGATTCTCAATTTCTTCTATTCTAGTCAGCAGGTTAAAAACTTCAAATCCACTCCTGCTTAACAATCATCTTCCAGGTATTAACTTTCAAGCATAAAATGTATAATTCACAGTTGAATTTCAAAGCTATTTGACGGTGGTTCGACGGTAGAATGCTCGCTAGTGGTTCAGTTCTGAACTGTGGCCGACGCGCTCTACTAACCGATAACAGTCTCGGAAAAAGGGGACTGTTAGGAGTGAGGTCAGTAACTTCACCCGGCAGAAACAGTACCGCTGCTACTAAAACTTCACAGAAAAGAAACTTTTCTTCCATTCGGAAGGTATGGACTGGAACAAAACGTATTCTACTGGTGGGCATAAAGCCTCAGTGTTTTTATCTTAAAAAGTAGCGAAAAAGGTTTATTAATATCAAACTCAAACCATCTGGCTTTTTGAAATATATCCGCTTTGCTTTGTTTGAATTTACTAGAACTTATCAGTGATCTTATAAAAACTTTAAATCAACAAAAGTATTCTTAAAATTTATGGACAAATTCACTATCCCTAATCTATTTTTATCCCTTCTTTTTAGGTGGGATAGACCACTAGAGGAAAAGCATACTAATTTTAAAACAAATTTTGTTTAAACTCATTGATTTTCCTTACACAAGGAATTATAGTCAGAAATCAGTATTAGTCATAAACACACACTGGAGTGCAACAAGTACTCTAAAAACAGTTTTTCCGTACAGTGCCCAAACAAACACAAATTTTCAGCCTAAACTGACTGTATAGTGAGGCTTTCAAATAACCACTCACACCTTGTATGTGATAAAAAAAGTATCCCAATGATTCATTCCGCCCAATTGGATAACAAAAATCCTGTGTTAATTGACAACTTTCTTGCTTCTTCGATCAACTTTCCAGAGGTTGGAGGACAAGACTTGACTTCTGAAACTAGCATATTCGAATGTAAGCATTATAATAACACTTAGGACTACATAATGAGAATATAAATTATCAAGCGTGAGTACAAAAACAGCTTGTTGTAAGGTATGAGATTGATGAGTTTGGCTTAGAACTTTAAGAATAATGAAATGCCACAACATGAGTGCTCACTTATAACTGGTCATCTGTCTATACTGATCAAGGTGACATCAGCCCTTGGTGAAATGTACCTATGAGGTCCGATAGTTACGGGTGATATTTAAGTAGTTGGCATAATTAGTCTTTTAAGTGGAGTCGGAATTTCTTTAAAACCTGAAAACTACTCAGATACAATTGAAATTAGATAAGGAAGGTCAAACTACCACAATGGTTCAGTATTAGAATACTCACTAACGACATGGAAGTTTAGGGTTCGATTCCCGACCGACACTCAGAAACCTCACCAGTATTCAGCCCGGAGAAGATGAGAGGTTACTCTTGAGTGTAGCAACTCCATCCCATAAAAATAACATCACTGGTGAAACTGCTAAGTCTTATTTTCCATTTCGAATGCAAAGGAATCGAGAAATCGCTTTCACTAAGAATGAAGGTATTATTTATAAATAAATTGTTATTATTATTGTATCCTTTAATTCCTACAGGAACATAGGGCTTCAGCCGTGCGTCTCCATTGCGTTCTGTTCTCTGCTAGAGTCTTCACCTGGCTCCAAGTTTGCCCACACGTTTTCATCTCCTCTTCACATGACCTCCTGCAAGTCACCCTTGCACTGACGACCAACTCGCCGCTTCCCTTTCGGGTTCCACTCGAGGGCTTGTCTAGTGATGTCACTTGATGGTTTCCTAAGAGTATGTCCAATCCATCTCCATTTCCTCCTGCCTATTTGTTTCACAATCGGTTCCTGGTTGATTCGTTCCCAAAGATCCCTGTTGCTGATCTTTTCTGGCCATCTGATCTTGATTTATAAATAAAGGTGTAGTAAAAATCATCAACACTTCGATATTAGACGCGGCTGAAGCCCTATGTTCCTGTAGGAATTAAAGGATACAATAATATAATAATAATCGATATTAGACCACCTGGTCCAAACCGGCCGCAAAGCCAGCATTGAAGAATCCTTCTCTACCATCTACCGGGTACCAAATAAGTTACCATAAGCGTCCAAGTATCGAATACTCCAAACAACAGAGGCTATTGCAGTTCGCCCTAACACAACCGATGGTCTGCGTACAGAAGAAAAAGGTCCAACCACTATTACCACCCTGGCCTGCGGTGGAGTTTGGAAGTTCATAAATACCTTATGATGTCGGCCCTTTTTGATGTGGCCCTCCATCCTACACATAAAAATTCCCCTAACCCCTGTCATACTTTTGCATTAACTAACCTTTTGTTTCTTAGTTGTTAGCTTACACATTGACACGCATACAACGCCAATAAAATGCTACCCCAATATTTTTTTCTCTACCCCCGTCCATCTGGAGTTTAAAATCAATATCAACAGAATTTAATATGAACATGACTCATGAGAATTTATTACTATACATTCGAATAAGGCATTAAGAAGGCAAATTTCGCGAGATGATATCATTTCGTAGTTTCTTTACAACCGCGAAAGGAACCGTCGAAAGGAACATGTTCCAAAGTGGTTACTAAATCATATAGAAAATCCCAACGCGATTAATCTTAATAGAAATCCAGCATAGTCCATTGCAAAACACCTATTAATGTCAGGTCACAGAATCAATATTAATGACTGTTTCATAATTATTTCACATAACTCTAATTCAAGGTTATCAAAGGTGATAGAAGCACTTTGGATTAATCACATACAGCCTAAACTGTGTGTACAAAAATCAATAGACTTCAATCTTTGCCTACCCTGGACTACATGACCTATCTAAATATGATTGGTCATCAGTATGTACTTTTGTGTTTTTTATTTAACTGAGTAATCGTCATGATTTTTACGAGTTGATCACGGACTGATATCAGTTAGAGAACCATTGAAAACCAGGGAGTACTGGACAGCTGCTGTTTCATCCTAGTTTGGGAATCATCGGCAATACGCACCCACTGGGATTCGAACCCAGGAGCTTCCGGTTACAAGGCAAGCTCGTATACCATTCAGCCACTGGGACCCGATTCAATAGCTCATGAATTCTAACTTCTAACGATTCGTGATCTTTATTTTATTATTGTTAACCATGTTAGTTGTAAAGCGGTTGTAAAGAAACTACGAAATGATATCATCTCGCGAAATTAGTCTTCTCAATGCCTTATTTATCAAAGGGACTAATTGTTTTAATAATATACATTCGTTATCATTCAAAAGCATTTACTTTGTAACATTGGTGTTCAATTTAGTATTACAATTACCATAATCTATTAACAGTCTATTAGCATATAATCTTTGGAGTTTTGATCTAAATGATTCTATGCTACTCTGTAAAAACCACTAGTGTTGTCGATGGCAATCATTCTTTCATAATTATGAATATACAACTGTAGAACCTGATGATGAAGTTTTGGAAAAGAATATTCTTTGTTCAGTAATCAAAAAGGATTTATTGAAAATATGACCCCATTTTTATAATTTTTCAGAGACAATTTTATCACGTACGCGTGTGTATGTGTGTACTTTAGTGTATGCACACATTAAATGTGTGTTCGAATGAAAAGACGCCAGAAAGCAGAGGAGATAGTCAGTCACGGAGCTAAGAATTTAAGGGAGTAATAAACCCTCTGTACCACATAATTCAACAAAATCACGCCCATCTGCGTACTTAAACACACTGAAACACAGAAAGATAAACACAGGCATGCATATGTGACCTCAGTGCATACCACAAATAGGAACAAAAATAGTCATTAATGTTGACACGCTTGATTTGTCCGAATCTCAGAAAAAATATTAATGAATGATAAACAGCTACTGGGAAAAAAAGGAGATTCGTTTCATTTCCATATGTTTCTGAGTTTTCTAGAGGTTGGGGGATAAATAAAAGCTAACAGGATTTATCATCAATTCATATCAACAATGTGACCAGGAAAGCGGATCGATTTCGGACAGGTAATTGAATTAGAAAGGAATAATAAACAGTGACCTTAATAAAGTATATTTCATGTCTGTTCTACCAG